TTTTGTATACCCCATTTGTATGTATCTTTGTAAAACTAGCATTGCTCAATTTATTTTTCTCTTGTATAAATGTGATAGCAAATCATAAATGACAAACGCATACATTCATTGTAACGAGAGGGATAAGACAATATTTTCATAATATTGACTCTGTTAAAGGTAGTATTATGAATCAGGATAAATTGCGTGTAATTTTTGTTTTCTTTACTAGTTTGATATTTGTGTGTGTTTACTTATTTGATTTCATTTTACCTTGGCAGTAGAAAGGAGGTGAGCATGCCAAAGGAATTTTGCTTTGATCAAACTACAAAAAAGTCAACCCCAAGCACTGTGAATGAAGAATCCATTACTGAATTATATCCTCGATAAGGGTATGACAGAATCAAGATTTTGTAAAGTGGTAAGGTGAGGGTGATATTAGGAGTAAGAAGAAATGTCAGATCAAAACTTTTACCTGCAATACTAAGTCCATAAGTTTAGTATAATAAGTTCGATCTTTTTCATTAAGATGACATGAATTCTGAATTTTATTTTATTTTTTTCCTTTTGCTTTCATATCCTGACTAAGATTCCACATCAGGGATCACAATGGAGCAACAGTTATGTTATTTAATCTTCCAAAAATATGAAAACATTGCATTTGGAAATCTTATTTTGTTTCATTATTTTGGATAGGATTTTAGGAATAATATTGGGTAGTTAGATAGGGGAGTATTACGAGATAAACTTTAAAAATTTATGAAAAAGCCCTTAGGTTTGCTAATTTAATTAAAGACCCTAATATATAAAATGACAAAAACGCCCCCACCACCTGTAGTGCCAGATTCTGGCCACCACCGTCGGAATCTGGCTGGAAAATTTCGTTACGACACAGACCGGTCAGATCTGTGTCGTAACGCGTCGCTATGACCTTTTCCGACCAGATCCACCAAGGCCAGATCTACAGCCAGATGTGGCCGTCGATGGCCGGAAAAGGCCAAAGATTTAGCCGTCGTTGACGTCAACGACGACAATTTCTTTGGCCGTCACTGACGGCCAGATCGGTGGACTACCGGCCATTTCTGGTCGGCAGGTAGGCCGTTGTACAGATTTCGGCTACCACTAGTGTGTTCTCATTCTTCAAAACAAAATAACTAAGGGTGCGTTTGGTTCAGTATTTATATCCATATTCCCAATCCTATTCCCCAAATATTGTTTGGCACATTATTTTAAAAATATTACTATATTTTTTAATTAATTTTATACCCCTTAAGCTTATTAATTTCATTAAATACCCCAAAAAAAATTTTAAAAATTAACAAAAACACCCCCATCAACCCATACTTGTCAGATTCCGACAACCACGGTAGTGATTTTTAAGCATCTGAATCACTTTAAATATTGTTTCTCATCCATTATTTCAATTCATATTCTCATATCATGTATAATTTTTAAGTCTATTTAATATTTTACACATACAAATAGCTGGTGTCAAAATCCATATCCAAAGACCAAATGTTAAGTCGTGGGGCGTGGGGCTCGGGGCTGAGATCTCTCGCCAGCCGAGGCAGTCGTCGCACGTGCAGAATCCGGTGGAATGGAAATCAAGTTTTAAATAAAAAGGACGTGTCAAACGGTTAATCGAATAGAACCGGTCTCCATCAGTGTGCAACGCGAATATGGCCTTGACTTCAATCCTGGAGTTTCCAACGCTGGGCCCCATGCCCACATCTCCTGGGTCCTTAACTCCGTTACAAATGGGCATCTGTCATTCCAGTCCTGATAGAACGATACTAATTCTCTTCACCTTTTTTTTTTTTTTTTAAATTTTTTTTTTTTTAAAGTTGGTTTGTTAGTAATTCTTCTGAAGATTTATTAACATATGTTTATTATAAATTTACTTCATAAAAAATGTATTCCTCTATCTTTGTCAACACTAAGGGTATGTTTGTTTTAGTATTTTAAATCATATTTTAAAAAAAAAAGTAAGAGTTGAGTGCGAATAACAAAGTGAGATTTAAAAATTAACAAAAACACTATTTAGGTTTGTTAATTTATTAAACACCCTTATAATAAAAACATTAAAAATTATAAAAACACTCCCACCTATCCATTAAATACCAGCAGCCAGCCTCCACCGCCAAAGCGTGATTGGAGTCACTGTATCGACGCAAGACTAGTTGGATTTGGCCGTTCGTGCACCAAGATAGCATTTTCCAGCTAGATTCACCGTGGATTTGGTCAGAAAATGATAGATCGACACACTATCGATCAAATCTAACAGGTAGTGCACTATTATACCAACTTTCGACCACCTTTTGACGGTGGTGGTCAGAATCTGAAAAATGTTGGTGGGTGGGTAGGGGTAATTTTGTCAATTTCTAAACTTTTTTGGGGATTATTTAGTTAAATTAACAAATTATGGGGTTTAAAAATAATTTAATAAAATAAAATAGGATTTTCATAATAAGGAAACAAATGTGTATTTTAGGTAGAATATGGATAGGATAGTGCAAAAATAATTAATCAAACAGACTCTAATAGATTTATCACATTTACCAAACAAGCATGGAAAGGGGAGGAAATTATCCCACTGGGGCTTATAAATATTTCCAAAAATAATTTGTCACTTTTGTAATTTATGAGTACATTTTAATAATTTTGCTCCTTAGATACAGCTTTATATTTTTATCTGAATCATTCATCCATTGCACTCATAATGTGTCTTGGTAGCCATAATGTACATGACAAATGTAGTTTAATTTAATACGAGGTTTAAAATTTTACTTAAATTATTGTTAGCTAGGGATGGCAAAAATGTGCCACATGAAGTTCTATCCATTCCAATCCAATCCGATCCATTCTTTAAATCTAAAAATGGATTGGATTTGCATATAATGGATTGGATTATAGATTTATTTAATCCATATATTTTAATATGAGCTAGTTTAGATCGTAGATTATTGTGGCATGTATAATGATAAAAAAAAATTATTTCTTAAAATATATATATATATTTTTTTTTTGATAAGTATTTAATAAATATTTAAAATACAGTATGTTCATAATTTATATTACATAAAATTATTAATTAAATAATCATTTAAAAAGATTAAAAAATACGGTGATTGGCTAACTGTCAATTAATCATCAATCAAAGGTGGCACGTTAGTACAAACTCTAATATTATCGAAACCAAAACATTTTGATTTATCAAAATCCGATTGAATCATCGAATTATAACACCAGTTTTAGCTGTGTAAATTGGCGAAAGCTTTGGCAACCTCATGCCTTCAAATGAAGCATGCCGATTGAATCATTTGTAAGCTTGGAAAAACTGGAGAGATGGAACATCTTTGCACTTGTTGGACTCATTTCTGTCAAACTCTTATTATTCAAGAGATGAAGCGATAAGATGCATCCATGTGGAGTTGTTATGCGTCCAGGAAGATCAAACAAAGAGACCAACAATGGCAACTATAGATCTCATGCTGAATAGTTACTCTGTTACACTTCCATCTCCTCAACAACCGACAGTTTACCTGGGTTCGTAGTCGGAGGGAGGCGAGCTTGCCACAAAATTTTGGCTTTGATCAAACCACAAACATGATGTCAACGCCATGTTCTGTGAATCAAGCATCCATTACAGAATTATATCCTCGATAATGGGGTGTTTAATAAAATGATGGAATTCTTCAAGAATCAAGATTTTGTAATAAGGTTAACTTGAAAATATATGTTTTCAACATGAAAGGTGAGAGAGATAAATTAGAATTAAGAAGAAACTGACAAGTAAAAGTTGTACCCTCCGGTAGTAATCCATAATTTTGTTGTTAATTTGCGTTGCTTTTGGTATATCATGACTTTCACATTCTTGACATTTTAACTTTAGAAAATATAATTTCTATTGCTGGATTGGGTTCACAGCCGCTGGCCTGGCTGCGATTTGGCCTAGCTAGGCCAAATTGTCGGCCGTCACCGTGGTTGTCAAGTCACAGAAGTTTCTTTAATTATTACAATTTTTATAAAATCATGTGACCAATTATTATTTGTCATTAAGATTAATAAACATCGGTTCATAATTTAATCTTACAAATTTTTTTTTTTACAATTCCGATATGATAGTGGATAGATAAAATATATTGTTAGACATACGAGACTTATTATGAGCTGATTAATTACAAAACTATTGTATCAGAATTATAAGAGGAAATTTGTGAGATTAATATCAATCTTAATAAATTTACTTGTTAGCTAATAAAGTCAGTAAAAATAACATAATTATATATTCATATGAATTGATTTAAAAATTAGACGTCACCCTTTTATAATCCCTAAGGATTTGAATTTAAAATTAAAAAAAAAAAGTTTGTTGCCCAGCTTTTAGCTGGCCCATCACCATCATTCATTCACATAATAAAAAGTCGTTTTTCCTCCGACAAAAATCAATTTATTAACACCGAAACAAGAAATAATTTTTACTTTTATTCTTGCCCAATCTCCACCATCCACGTGTGCTATNTAATCTTACAAATTTTTTTTTTTACAATTCCGATATGATAGTGGATAGATAAAATATATTGTTAGACATACGAGACTTATTATGAGCTGATTAATTACAAAACTATTGTATCAGAATTATAAGAGGAAATTTGTGAGATTAATATCAATCTTAATAAATTTACTTGTTAGCTAATAAAGTCAGTAAAAATAACATAATTATATATTCATATGAATTGATTTAAAAATTAGACGTCATCCTTTTATAATCCCTAAGGATTTGAATTTAAAATTAAAAAAAAAAAGTTTGTTGCCCAGCTTTTAGCTGGCCCATCACCATCATTCATTCACATAATAAAAAGTCGTTTTTCCTCCGACAAAAATCAATTTATTAACACCGAAACAAGAAATAATTTTTACTTTTATTCTTGCCCAATCTCCACCATCCACGTGTGCTATCACGGGTCCACATCACCGAACCGGCTACACAAAAAAAATAAAAAAAATAAATCCCAATATAGATCACATCGTCATTAATTTCCCTGCCCTTTTGTCTCTCCAAAATTCTCGCCGAGGTTTTCTTGAACTGCCGTCGCGTCTTGAGTAATCCCTGTATCCAAACACCGGCTTTCGAGTTGCAAGAAGAATGAGCTTTCAGGATCTGGAGGCGGGCCGGTCCGTGGGCTCATTGAGGAGAGATTTGGCGAACGGAATTGCGAAGCAAGACTCCACGCAGGCCGTCGCTTCTGGAATTTTCCAGATCAACACCGCCGTTTCGACGTTTCAACGACTTGTTAATACGCTTGGGACCCCCAAGGATACGCCGGAGCTCCGTGAGAAGCTGTGAGTTTGTCTGATGTGAATATTTTTTGGTTGAATTATGAGGAATTAGGGGTTAGAGGTTTAGTTTCTGGAATTGCGATGGATTGGTTAGGAGTATAATCGTGATTATGCATTTGAATTGATTATTTGGGAAGCATTAGTTGGTATAAGGATTTATGCTAAAAAATAATGAACATTTAAATGGGTCCCCTTTAAGGTTTGCGTAAAATATGGTTTCGAAATTTATCAGAAATCTCCTTGAAATTGTAAAAGTTGTTATAAACCTCTGTTGAATGGTCGGAGACTTTGCTGAAGCCACTTCAATTGGACCTAAAAAAATGATGCTAAATCAAGAAATGATCATAAAATGCAATAACACCTATGAGTAATTCAAAACGAGATGGTGCTATTATTCATGTAAACTTGCTGAGAGAATAGCATGAAGAAAGATTGATGGTTATTACCAAAAAAGTTTGCCTCTGAAAATTTTCAAATTTATGTGGCTGATTGTTTCTGGAATCTATGATGCATTAATTTACACTTGTAGTGTGCAAAATGAGGATATCCTCCTCCTAAGCTATATCTTGCATGTCACACAATCTTCTCTTTACATCTTTTTATTTTTCTTTTATATGAATGGTTTTGCACTTTGAGGTTCTTAGTCTGGAACTGTTTTGTATTGACAGACACAAGACAAGGCTACATATTGGACAGTTGGTAAAGGACACTTCAGCTAAACTAAAACAAGCTAGTGAATCAGATCATCGTGTTGAAGTTAGTGTAAGTATGCTTTCGTGAGCACTAGTTAATTGGTTATAAATGCACAACTCTGTCTCTCTCACACACACACAGAGAGAGCTAATTTATGCATGTTATATGTTTATATTACTGTTGGTAAAAATCTTATTACTTACATTGAACATGTCTAATACAAATTAAAACTTATAACTTGATTAACTTAAAACAATTTTGTGGGGGCTGTTTAAAATCCTTTATCTTCTTAAGATGACCTTTACTGGTTTGTATAATACAGGCCAGCAAGAAAATTGCTGATGCTAAACTTGCAAAAGATTTTCAAGCTGTTTTAAAAGAGTTTCAGAAGGCCCAACGGCTTGCAGCTGAAAGGGAAACAGCTTACACTCCTTTTGTTCCCCATGCAGCTCTTCCTTCCAGGTACGTGCTGTTGCAGGCCCTTTGTACTTGCCTTGGTTAGGTCCCTTTATGTTTTAGTGCACATGTTGATTGCATGGAAAACAAATTGATTAGATTATTTTTGTCAAGTGTTGTAGTTTGAAAAAAAAAAAATAAAAAAAATAATACATTTGTGAAATCTTCCTATATTGATTTCTTTAAAAAAATTGTTTGTTGATTACTTTGTTGTTGTTGAGTGGTTCCAAGTGATCTACATCTGGTTGTTTCCAATTTGCTAATCTTTCAATTCTTACTCTTGCCATGCATACTTTCCTCATGCTGTGATTTTTTTCCATTCTATATTCAGCTACACAGCCCAGGAACTAGATATAAGTTCAGATAAGAGTGCAGAACAGCGTGCTGTTCTTGTGGAATCTAGAAGGTGAGTTTCACTCTCAAATTAACTAGTAAATACCCTTTTTCAAGTGGCGCTTTCCTTTCTTTTCTGCTTGCCAGTGGTATTTTCTTTTGTTATAAGTAGAAAATAAATAAAATTATGTGTTCTCCACTTTTTGTTATTCATATTCTGCATTACAAAGCTTGGAGTTTGTTATTTAGATTCAAAACCTCTGAACAGATATTTCGCTACTTCAAAGCAAATTGTAAATTTATTTCTAATGTTGAGTTAGATATGAATTATGCAGCTAAATTTGAAAATATTTTGTTAAGCATGCAGTTGACCTTTTTCATTTTATTTAAGAAAAAAAAAAACTTACGTTGAAAAGTTTACCACTTCCATGTGCAAGGGTTAAAATTTTTACTTCAAGATGGCTTGAAATAGAATATATAAAGGACATTATGTTTCATTCTCACCGTAAATCAGTTTCACCATTTTTACTGCAAAGAGAACTAAATGATTGAAAATCTTAACTTAATAATTGCTGCATTGCACAAAACCTTTAAGTGTGGTTGTACATTCATTTCATGAAAGTTGAACTTACAATTTATTAATCATGTTTATCCCTTGTTTTCTTTGAGAAATAGACATCAATGAGCAGAACCTTAACATTTCAGTAATTTCTTGCTGCAGACAGGAGGTTTTGCTATTAGACAATGAGATTGCCTTCAATGAGGCTGTCATTGAGGAGAGAGATCAAGGAATTCATGAAATCCAGCAGCAAATTGGTGAAGTGAATGAGATCTTTAAAGATCTTGCTGTGCTGGTCCACGAGCAAGGAACTATGATTGGTATGTCATCTTCTTGTCTTGTATTCATAACTCTATTATCAGCCTGGATCATGTTGTTAAATAGTAAACATATCATCTTGCAGATGATATTGGGACCCATATTGAAAATTCCCATGCGGCAACTGCACAGGGAAAATCACATCTCGTGAAAGCAGCAAAGACCCAAAGATCGAATTCCTCTCTGGTAATTTACTAGATTTAAACGTTTTCCTGTTTTTGTTAACATCAAGATGTAGTTGGGGTGTAAAAACATCATGAATGCACATTTATTGTGCCCTTTCTCGGATGCTGTAATTAGCTGTACCCACTTGAATTGTCTTTAGAAATGCACTTGTTTTTTGACAAATGAAAGAAATAATTGTCTTTTATGCTTAATAACCAGCATTTGTGAATTAACGAAGTCATTATATTTCTGCAGGCGTGCTTGCTCTTAGTGATATTCGGGATTGTGCTCCTCATTTTGATCGTAGTACTTGCAGCTTGATGAGAAGATTATCTGAAAAATGTGAGTGGAACGAGTGTTTAAGATGTGGTTGGCAAAAAGAGGGTAATCTGATCTCTCATACTAATCTGTTTTGATATTGTCGTTTCACTGAAACATCGTCTTCGTCGTGGAGGAGAGCGTGACAGTTGTTGACTGAGTTAGTACATAATATGCGACATTCAGTTGCATGGGTTGGGGGTGTCTGTTGTTTGTTGTAAGTTGCTAAAGGGTGTGTTATGTGTTATGTGTTTTTTTTTTATTTTTTGCTTTTTTAAATTATAAATAATAAAATATCATTAATTCTTTGGGGTTTCTTATAAATTATCATTCATAAGCATGAATTTGATAACTATTTGATTGTTATTTTGTAATTTTTCATTGCACCATATAGAGAAAGGAAACATCTTCATATCATTGCCAATCTGCAGAGTAATTATACTCGAGATGCAGAAACAGTCTTCTTTGATTTAGGTAACTTGGTTGCAGATTCAATAATATCAAAGCTCATGTCACTTACAAATCTCACGACCGTGTTTTTGGGTTACGAGTTGAATGTCTCTTAAATCTCTTGCACATGGTTTAGGATTTTGACTTTTGCTGTGTTTTCTTTCTTCAATGTGTCCAGACATATATACAAAAAAGTCTTGGGATTTATTCATTGAAATTTCTATTTGTTTTCAGGACACATTCCAATAGAAAGCAGTTCGGCCATGAAAAAAGGAAAAAAATTATTGAAGATAAATCCCCATTTTCGACAATTTGATCAAAATTAGCTCATCTTTATTCTGAAATTTTTATTCTTGTTCGAAAATTAAACAAAAAAAATTACAGGTTTAAATTTCCTACAATTATTTTAAATATTTCTTCGAAGTATTGAAACAGTCCCCGAAATTGTTGGATTCGTGAACAAATTTTCAAGGCGGATTGAATCAAGAAGATACTCCGGCTTACTGACATTCTTTTACTAAAAAATGAAAGAAAAAATATCACTGAAGGTTAAACTCTTTTATCTAAGGGCAAAAATAGTATATTTAAGTGATCAAGATTGTTTGGAGCTTTTCCCGGGCTTAATGTCTGAACAAAATATGGATGCCCATACAATTGCAAGAGTCGATAAAATGGCTGAAATGAAAGTAACAACAGATACAATCTCTGAGTGTGCCTTAATCCCAGAAGGTATTCTCCACACAGCAGCTTCGGTTTTAGATTCAGCATGGTCAGTGGTTGAGATAAATAAACAGCTCTGATTTTGCAGCTTTCCTTTAATGCAGCAGCGCATGAATAAATCAGGATCACTAAATTTGATTCTTGAATAGCCACTTTCATCTAAGGGCTGCAAAGATAATGAAATTTGGTCAGTATTTCACATAAATCCTTGACAACTTTCAAGTTGCCAATGAAGAACAGCAGCAACACATGAACAAATTCAGTACGGAATAAGAACAAAAATGTTTCCCTTTTCATAATATCATTACTAACCTGATACCGTGCATGCAATGGTAGCTGTAGTTTGATTTCCAGTGCTTTTTCCTGAAAGATATTGGGATCGACATTCATGTGGATTTCAACTGCAGACTGATTGGAACGAAATGAAGGCAATTCCAAGTTCGTATCTCCAAAAACAGCTATATCTGTAAAAACTGCAAGAAATGGAATTCTACTCATCAACTTGAGCAAAATAAGCAACAAAACAAACATGGTTATAGTAATACTGATTCTATGATTTATCATGAAAAATGAACGCAAATTACCACCACGCTGCTGAAGATGTTGTAGCTCAAATGGGTCGGCAAATACTCCAGCGGGTAGTCTTTCAACTACTAAAACCTCACAATAGTTAATGGGTAGCTGAGCTATGGACTTTGGGTCAATGTCAAATCTGATAGATGATGATAGATGACGATGAGAACCTTCACCAATCAAATGGCGTTGTAGAACTGAATGCTTTGAAACAGGTCTCAGATTATCTGGCAGCACTTCACACAAACCAGAATGAAGTACATGTCCTAAGAAATCTTGAAAATTTGAATCAACCAAGCTTTCATATTTTTCAAAATATGATGTCATAAGATATTTCTTGAAACCAGAATTTGTCTCACTCCTTCCCACCTGAAAATTTAAAAGTAAAATATATATATATATATATATAAAGAAAAAAATAGAACTAAACTGATACATTTGGAACTGGAAACTTGTACTATTTATAAGTTACTTTCTCATCTATATTATTGGTATTCATAGGGTGAACTCTTTTCCTTCTCTTGTTGACAGGATATCTGTACATTTGACATGAAAGACCGGTAGCTTCTATTTCCAGACTACTATACAAAGAATGATATGAGCAATAATGATAATGCTACGAGTAAGAACGGTAATATATTTTTTATTACAAGAACATAGAAGAAGAAGAAGAAGAAAATCTTATATAATACCCTCCCCTTCGAGTGGGTATTTATGTGGAATTTATAAAGCATAAATTTTTAATTCATAGTATTCTAAGTTGATTAATGAGATTTGACGTTTCTACAATTGCTAAAGAGAAGTTCAGAAACACATTACAAAAGATTAACCCATTTCCAACTATGGTATTTTTTAATCTCACTGTGATCATCAATTTTCATTTTTCTACTTTAGTTGTTGACACAGGTCTAATTGTGGATATCAAAGTCTATAACTGGGCTTTGGTTTACACTTTAGTACTTGAAATCTATATGGCAATCAATGAAATAACTGAAGGGTTAAATTGCTTATGATTTTTCCACACATCAAATATTTCTATAACAACAAATTAGTAAATTGATCCAATAAGGCTGAGGTTTCTTCTAGTTAAATGGCTCTTCTCATTCAGTCAATTACCTCTATGTGGGTCAAATTACATTAGAAGCAAGTTGTGAGAGCATGGACAATTAATGATAAATCAAATTAGTATCAGTTTAACAAACTTGGTCTGCCAAGCATGCCATCAAGCAATAGCAATTACAACAGTAGAACTTTCAAGGATTGAACAAGTGTCTAACTATACCTAGCTTGACTGTAACAACAAGCGTTCTACTGAGTAATATTCAACTTTGGGCTTACAATCCCCAAGGTTTACCTTGTGGGTTTTTCAATCCAAAACTCTCATAAGCAATTCAAAATTCTTGCACAGACATTACTTCTCATACACTCAGTACCCGCAATGTGAACCTGCCTAGATGTGGCCAGGCCTATGACAAACCACCCGCACAAGGGTCACACATCTTCACGTGGGAGTCGCTCACAATCAGGTTGCATTCCTACTTTGATACCAATTATAATGGCTACAGTTGCACCGAGTATGATGGCCAATTTGAGCTCACAACCCTCACGGTTTTACTTTTATAGTTTTCAACTAAAAAGACCTCTTGTTTATCTAAGAAACCTCATGTGTTATCTACTAACCAAAAAACTCTCACTTTTGATATAGGATCTTGCACATGGACTTATTCTCATACATCTAGTGCTAGCAGCGTGGCCTTGACTAGTTTCACGGATTGGGAGTTTTACACCCAATAGGCTAACCCATTAAGTGGAGGGACTGCCTTATAAGCTCAAGACCTCCCCAATACACTTCCGATGTGAGATCCATGACACTCCCCCACCCAAAAGTGCTATTAAAGCAGACTCAATCCGTCTTTCGGTGTCCCGCCAAGTGCCCACGTAGATGGGCGTCCACGTGTGATAGTGGGTCCACTCGAGAGGTGAGATGGATGGGTCGGCAGGGGCCTCACCTGTGACGAGGACATCATAGGATTGGGTGGGAGAGTATCACAAATCCTACAGCGGAAGCGCATTAGGAAGGTCTTGGGCTTATAAGGGGGAAATCCCTTCCCCTAATGAGTTAACCTTTTGGGTGTGAAACTCCAAACCCGTGACACTAGGTAAAACTCATGACAGACGGTCCCCTTAAAAAGGGTACATAAAATTATAAAAAGAAAATCTTTGCAAGACACTAAGAATTGAGTCATTTATATCCACTAAGTTATTTGCGTATGAAAGGAGATAAAAATCTTATATAACCTATTAAAAGATGTCATGTGGCACCTGTGTTTAACCAAACAAAAGAAGACTAATGAGTTGTCTATACAAAAAAGAGACATTATCAGCTGGAGAAGAAGAAGAAAAGAGGAGGATAAGAAGAAAAGGAAACAAAAAGAGATAGAAGAGATTGTTAAACTATAAAATTCCCAAGTATAACAATCAATTTCTTTTTCATTTTTCTTTTTTTCACAAAATGCACGTAGATTACTCTACCTCCCAATCTATATGAACTCTACTTGACTTTAGCAAAACCCAGCCAATTTCTCTTCACTTTCTCTCTTATTTGTCCTTTGCATCTTATCCTTCTGTTTCTCTTCTTCAACCCATAAGTTTTATTATTTCTTTTTGGCGACAACTCGCTTTTTGTTTTGTTTTGGCCAAAGAAAAAGTGCCACATGCCACCATGTAATATGGTTTTTAAATTCTCTATTCCCTTTTACATAAATGAATAAATTGACAAAAGAAGTAACTATTAGTGTTTCGAAAAAATTGTCTTATTATGACTTGAAATAAATTTCTTAATGAGGTTGATGACCAACAATCGTGCCCATTTGAGGACATATTACAGACAATAGGTGTACGAGAGTAAGACCATGTGCTTGATATCACATCACTTGTTTGAGAGTTCTTAGACTAATATGTAACACATAGGGTTCCTTATAGACAAGGTAACATTTCAGTTAAAAAGCTTAAAAGCAAAACTAGAAAGAATTATGAGTCCAAAACGGACAAAATTTTGTAGGTGGAACCTGGATTGTCATAATCGATATAAAAGCCAGAACATGACTCGATGGTGGGTGAAAACCACACGAGGGACTGTGGCCTTTAATGGAGAAGTTTGACATGAATTGTTCCTAGCCAGAGCCATGTTGTGGACTAGATATATGAAAGTAAAACCATCTGCAACAATCTTATATTGTTAGTATGAGAGTTTTTGAACTATTGTATCACGCGTGGAGTTCTTTACATAAGCACGAAACATTTAGGTTGAGGAGACTAAAAACAAATGTGCTGAGTGTTGTGAGCCTAAATTGAAAAAATCATGTTTGGTAAAACCCAGGTCATTACATTGGCGACAACTATTCACAACAACCAACTTTACCAACCACCAACACATTCTTCGTTGTTCCCCGTCATCCACCTCCCCTTCATTGTTAGTCATCATCCACATGCCTTTCATCATTACCAATCATCCACAACTGTTAAAACTACTGCTAAAACAAGCAAACAACTCTTGCTACATTGACAACAAGCAGAATAATCTTATTCATATAAACTATAAAATCCAAGTATAGCCTTGGTCCACTGCAATAGAAGTGTCAAGCAACTCCTATGAGGCCATTTTGCCAGTAACAATCTGCTGTTCCTCCAATTCTTAAGNGAGTGTTGTGAGCCTAAATTGAAAAAAATCATGTTTGGTAAAACCCAGGTCATTACATTGGCAACAACTATTCACAACAACCAACTTTACCAACAGCCAAAACATTCTATGTTGTTCCCCGTCATCCACCTCCCCTTCATTATTATTCATCATCCACATGCCCTTCATCATTACCAGTCATCCACAACTGTTAAAACTACTGCCCATTATAACACTTCCTTATAGTTGTTCCACACAAACTAATAAAAAAACAAGCAAACAACTCTTGCTACATTGACAACAAGCAGAATAATCTTATTCATATAAACTATAAAATCCAAGTATAACCTTGGTCCACTGCAATAAAAGTGTCAAGCAACTCCTATGAGTCCATTTTGCCAGTAACAATCTGCTGTTCCTCCAATTCTTAAGCAAAAATTGTTGTAGGACACAGATCATGAACCAAAGAAAGAGTTACCCCCTTTCAAGGATCCAACATCCAATTGAAATAGCACAGAGTAGATTGTTTTGGATTAGATTATAAATCAATAAAATCTCTAAGCTGTATTCCCAATCAGTTCAACAATAGTACAAATAAGAGCTGTAACAATAAAAACAAACCAGGCAGAGAAAAATCTGAGTTGAACCATCCTTAAGACTCTCTTTCTCTATACTGTTTTAGTCCCCTAATTCGCTTAAAAATCCCCTTGATCCTACCAAAAACTCCAACAACACATGCCTCGAGAAATTGCTGTAATGATTTAAAGCAACTGAGGCTTTTACTAATCAAAATTTTCAAATCTGTGCAAAATTTGAAAATTAAAGGTTTATATCCATATCCATTACCAATTTTTGTTGCAGCATTCATTACCTGGACTCCTATCATGTTTCTAGAAGTTCATATTTTGGACTGCATTTGAAATATTATTAACTCCCTGATTGCATTCCCCTTCTGCCGGTTACGACCAAAGGAAGGACTGCGAGTCAAATCTCTCACACTTTTGAGAAAGCTCCTAAGGAATCTAACCAAGAAAATCAATGCAAAGAATTCACCACGAGGCATCAGTGTGCGATTATAGGTTTTTTTTTTTGTTTTTTTTTTTTAAATTTTGCACCTAACCTAAATGTCCCTATATGTGTGCGTGTGTGTGTGACCTTATCTATGAATTGGAGACCTTATTAGCTAAGATACCAACTACGCATGGTTAAAATCTAACTTTCATATCATCTTGATAGTAAATTTTTTATCACTTTTTAACTAAAATTTCAGTTTTTTGCTTTCTAACCTGAAGGTTTCGTGTATGCTTATCTGACGAAATTAAAGAGAATTTCCTTCCTTAGAACGAGCAAAGCAACAAGAAGGTTTCTTGGAATAAAGTTTTACTGCAATATACGAATCTTAAGTTCTATATATGAATCTTATGTTTTATGCTTTTCTGGGTTTCGAACAAATGAAGAACCCACCTCCACTTAACAAAACAAAGTTACATAGGCTCAATTATATAGTAGTTTGTTCTCGTAAACCCAGTAACAAAACACGAATAAACAAAACCCCAAGTAAATTACAAGTTGAAATAAACAAATTTTACATTCCCAGATAAATAATTATGCATCTTCCAACGAACTGAAAACAGATATCCATAAAACAAAACCAATAGTTTATAAAAGTTAGAGAAAATCTGACTGACCTCAATGCCAACCGCCGCAAACACCATCATAACAATTGCCACAATACGGCAAAGCCATAATCGAACATCTTCTCGAGATCCCATGGAGTAGTTTCTGAAACATGAAACCAAAATGGGTGAAGAGGTGACTCCAAAGCTTCTCCAATTCGACCATTCGAGACTGTATAATTTTATAATAAATTTCATTTACGATTTTGCCCTTATGTTAAGTTTAACGGAGGTATTTGACGGCCGGGGAGATATTTGCGAAAAAAGAAAACATAATTTAAAAAATTAGAAGCTCAGCTGGTTAGTCTGGTTTTGAAGAGGAAAATGAACAGTACGTCACCGGCAAATTCATCGATATCAACAACTGCAATAGTAGGCGGAGGAGGTGGCGGTGGCGGTGGGGGAGGAAGTAGCAGTAACAACACTGTTATCGACGACTTTCACTTTCCTTCTGACCTCATCTCCATTCAAGACCGGAAGGACGAGGCCATGCTAGGTCACTCTCTATGCTTTAATTGCCATTTATATTATCATACTATTAATCATTTTTTTCATTAGTTTGAAGGAAGATAGTAATTCAGTGGCTCTGTTAATTTTTGAAATGTTCCATTCAGGGAAAGTGTAAAATACTTATTTTTGTTTCAATGAAAACTGGGGTTTTCTGTCATTTTTAGTGGAAAAATTTTAATAATTTTTGGTTTGCAGTGTTGAAATCTGATCTCCTGGCTGCTCTGAATAAGGAGGTTAAATCCATGGATGAAGATAACTGGATGTTTGAAGGGCCTCGTTCTCGTATTAACCTAATATCAAAAGGAGGTTAGTCTCAATTTCTCTATTGCCGCTCATTTTGTTACCTTGTTTTGTTGGTTTTTAAAGGAGAATTTATAGAGTACCTATTGTTCTATGTGCCTTTAATATTAATTTACTCTTTTTGGATCTTTGATGACATTCCTGCACTAGTTGATTTGGTGTTAGATGATGCAATACAGCATTTTCAGAAACTTGCTGAATGGGATAGGGATAGAGAAGGCCATTGGTTGTATCTTGGTCAGTCTTTCAACATCTCCTGAACATTGACAATCAAGTTAAATAGATTAGAGTGATGATGTTTTCATCATCTGCCTAAGCCAAAGAGTGAAGAAGTGTTTCTAAAAGAGCTTTCATCCATATGGGGTTGTTTTTAAAATATTTCCGACATCATGACATCATGTTGATTCGTGCATTTGAGAACATGTGTACTGTGTCAAAAGCAAATAAAATGCTGTACTTTTCTAAAAACCCAGAGACCAAACTGCCATTGGTTTGAGTTTGTTTCTCTCCATCGCATGCACATGGGGAACTCTCTCTTGCTATTCGTGTTTTGAATCTCAGTAGTCTTCAGTATTTTGCTGTTTATTACTCTTTCGGGATTCAGGAACCAACTCTATGTAGTTAATGTAGCTTTTATGTACATTGTCTGATTCATAAAGATGATATTCATGGTGCAATCGTGAGTTGTTGTGAGCATGATAAAAGCATCATCTTGCTGGCTGAACAATGAAATGCGAGAATTTGGGTTGAGTGGTTTAAGGTCTTTTGTTTTAAATCAAGAGGTCAGGAATTCTATTCCTGGGGCCCCTTCTGAGGATGTTATATCCCACAAGTTTTCAAACTATTCAGAACTTAGCCAACTTGTAAATTAAGTCAGGAGTGACAATTGAAAATGTAGTGGAATGTAGTAAACGAGAATTAAATGGCATAAAAGAATTAGCATAGGAAATCCAAGGAAAGAGCTGGCTTAACTTTTAATTTGATGACACCATTTTTTATAGTGATTCTTATTTAGAGGATAAATGTATGCTTCACATATAATGAACTTCTGATTTCATTTTGATGTTGAAATGTACCTTTCGGGGTAATTCTTCTCTATTATAGTAATAATTATGCAGAACTCCACTTTGATGCTCTTTTAGAGTACATTAATAATATCAAAACATTTCAGTCATTTTATTGCAACTGTCTCTTAATTATCTTTCTATCAGCATATTGATGAGTTGGCTTTTCTTGTTTTAATGGTTCAAATTCAGGTGGACTTCTCAAGAAGCAGATGGAGACTACCAAGAATCCTAACTTGGCTCCACCATCAAAATGATTTAGAGTTCTCCAAACAGGTATCATCTTGTCTCTGTGGTTTATCCAGAGATTCTGCTTCAATGATTTAATCTTTTCCGTACAACTGCAGAACTGTAACTTGATTAGCATATAACGTTGGGCTTTACATAGGCATGTGAACTGTAACAGTCGATTGCTTTTATACAAGACGGTATCCTGTAAATTCATTTTGAATGAGTAGAATGTCAGTAATTGTTATGTGCTTTTTACAAAGAAGGGGATCATTCAGTCAAAGTCTTGCTTTCTAATTTTACCAACTAAAAGATATCATTTGATTGTGGGGAAGTGATATGTTGGTTAAGTTGGCGCAGTATATGAACATTTTAAATAATTTACAATGGCTTTCTTTTTTTCTTTCAACTTCAAACTAGAATTGCAAAGTTCAAATAAAAAAGTCCTAGTTGACAGAAAAGAGCAAAAAAGACTCTTCTTTAAGTATCTTCCAGCTCTATATATATGTACATATAGATCGTGCTTCTTCTTACGTAGGTTAACACTTACAGAATTTCACCTTATTGTCAAGTTTCAATGAAATTAGAATGAGGGGAAGTAGCAGCTCAATAATATTGAAAAGCTCAGAAATTAAATTTTTAACTCCCAATTTAGTTTGGTTTGATAAAGAAACTTTGGAAGATTAAACCGAATTGGGACTATTATGTAACTCAATTATGGCTTAAAGTTGGAAATCGTTGTGCAATGTTACATGCTCTATGTTTTCTTGACCTCCATTTCTGGAAATTCCACTGTTGATTACGATGGGGATGGAAGTATGATGATAAATGAGATGTAACAAGATTCTTTTGATTTTTATGTAATAAAGGAAAACTGGCAAATTAATGTAGCAACTCAAACATGTAAATTAAAGCAAAAATGTGTCCGCAGCCCTTCAAGGACTAGAACTCTCAGGACTGATCTTATTCACAAAAGGATGAGCAAGAAGCTGCTCTACAGTCCCTCTTTTCTTCCAATCCTTCTCCAAACAACTCCTCACAAAGCTCCGAAACTCCATGGAAGCTCCCTCCGGCATCTCCAGCCTCTCCCCCAGGCATATTGCACATATCAACGCTGCCCAATCTGGCTTCTCCCCAATCCCAATCAACGGATAATGACCAACTAAACACTCCAACACCACCACCCCAAGTGACCAAACATCGCCTGCAAATCCATCTTTATTATTATCCCCACCCCACCTCTCAGGATCAACCCTTTCAGGACTCATGTAAGCACAAGTTCCATCGTTTGAATCCATTCCATTGCGCATGCCAGTGCCAGTTCCAGTGCCGATGATCCTACTCACTCCAAAATCTGCTATCTTCACCTCCCCTTCTCCATTTATCAGAAGATTTGATGGCTTTATATCACCATGAACTATCCGCAGTCCATGCAAATACTGCAACCCTTTCAGCATGCGATAAGCAACTCTGGCAATAACATCTTCTGACAATGTCTCGCGCACATGCAGAGCGTCGGATAATGATCCTCCCTCCATGTGTTCCATCACAAAGCAAATCTCTCCTTCAATGGTGTAAAACACTGCATGGCATTTGACAATGAACTCGGAGTCCACCCGTTTGAGAATCCCTGCCTCGCGGGCAGCCTGGTGGCAAATGGAGACGGCATTTTGATCAAAACGGAGAACCTTCAAGGCATAGATAGAGCTGCTTTTTTGGTTACGAACTTTGTAGACAGTGGCACCATTGCCGTGGCCAAGAACCGAGAGTTTCTTCAAGTCTGCAAGGCTTTCAACGTCCGGGGAGTTGGGGCTCGCAGTTTCCGGCGGCAAGTGGTAATGGTACTGGGAGAAGTAATTGGGTGACGGGAGGGATACTCTAAGAGCTTGTTGGTGTCTTCTTTCTCTTACCAATGCCATTTACACACTGATCTCTCAGACTAAAAATTCTCATAATTGAAGTGTTAAAATAAGATGATTGAGAGGGGGAAAGGAATGTGGTTGATTGAGAGATACAATCCCAAAATGAACGGGCAGGTGAGGAATTTGAGGAGATGAATGTCAGCATAAAATTAATGGAACGTGTAAAGGGAAGAGTTGATAATGGAATCTGAGTCCTCAACGGAAGGTAAAGCCATGAAGCAGCCGCTTTTTGCTTAGCTAACAATAACAAAATAATATAAAACGTGGAAAATTTTCCCATGTGTAATGTCAATAATAGTGACATTATTTTTACTGAGAGAATACGGCGTAAAATTATGAATCAAATTAATCTTTAAAAAATCCGATCCAATTCTTAAACAAATTGAAATTCATTAGTTTTAGAAATTTTCAAACCAAATAAAATGATACAAGTAATACCAATAATCTGTAACCTATAAAATGTACTACCATTTGATAGAAGAAACAATAACGTTCATTCATTTCAAAAGTTTTATCTCAAATTTATTATTTTAAGATGTTAATAAAATAATTATTGGGTAAATATGATATGGCTGTCAAATAAGATCACACAACTGAGATGTGAATTTTATGATATACTTTAGTATGTTTAGTTTAACATTACCCCAAAGGAAAAGGGTAAAATATAAAATTCCTCGCACCAATGTTACGTCACGGTAACGATAATCAATGTGACAAGTTAATGCAACTGTCTCTTAATTATCTTTCTATCAGCATATTGATGAGTTGGCTTTTCTTGTTTAATGGTTCAAATTCAGGTGGACTTCTCAAAAGCAGATGGAGACTACCAAGAATCCTAACTTGGCTCACCATCAAAATGATTTGAGTTCTCCAACAGGTATCATCTGCTCTGTGGTTTATCCAGAGATTCTGCTTCAAGATTTAATCTTTTCCGTACAACTGCAGAACTGTAACTTGATTAGCATAAATTGGAGACCTTATTAGCTAAGATACCAACTACGCATGGTTAAAATCTAACTTTCATATCATCTTGATAGTAAATTTTTTATCACTTTTTAACTAAAATTTCAGTTTTTTGCTTTCTAACCTGAAGGTTTCGTGTATGCTTATCTGACGAAATTAAAGAGAATTTCCTTCCTTAGAACGAGCAAAGCAACAAGAAGGTTTCTTGGAATAAAGTTTTACTGCAATATACGAATCTTAAGTTCTATATATGAATCTTATGTTTTATGCTTTTCTGGGTTTCGAACAAATGAAGAACCCACCTCCACTTAACAAAACAAAGTTACATAGGCTCAATTATATAGTAGTTTGTTCTCGTAAACCCAGTAACAAAACACGAATAAACAAAACCCCAAGTAAATTACAAGTTGAAATAAACAAATTTTACATTCCCAGATAAATAATTATGCATCTTCCAACGAACTGAAAACAGATATCCATAAAACAAAACCAATAGTTTATAAAAGTTAGAGAAAATCTGACTGACCTCAATGCCAACCGCCGCAAACACCATCATAACAATTGCCACAATACGGCAAAGCCATAATCGAACATCTTCTCGAGATCCCATGGAGTAGTTTCTGAAACATGAAACCAAAATGGGTGAAGAGGTGACTCCAAAGCTTCTCCAATTCGACCATTCGAGACTGTATAATTTTATAATAAATTTCATTTACGATTTTGCCCTTATGTTAAGTTTAACGGAGGTATTTGACGGCCGGGGAGATATTTGCGAAAAAAGAAAACATAATTTAAAAAATTAGAAGCTCAGCTGGTTAGTCTGGTTTTGAAGAGGAAAATGAACAGTACGTCACCGGCAAATTCATCGATATCAACAACTGCAATAGTAGGCGGAGGAGGTGGCGGTGGCGGTGGGGGAGGAAGTAGCAGTAACAACACTGTTATCGACGACTTTCACTTTCCTTCTGACCTCATCTCCATTCAAGACCGGAAGGACGAGGCCATGCTAGGTCACTCTCTATGCTTTAATTGCCATTTATATTATCATACTATTAATCATTTTTTTCATTAGTTTGAAGGAAGATAGTAATTCAGTGGCTCTGTTAATTTTTGAAATGTTCCATTCAGGGAAAGTGTAAAATACTTATTTTTGTTTCAATGAAAACTGGGGTTTTCTGTCATTTTTAGTGGAAAAATTTTAATAATTTTTGGTTTGCAGTGTTGAAATCTGATCTCCTGGCTGCTCTGAATAAGGAGGTTAAATCCATGGATGAAGATAACTGGATGTTTGAAGGGCCTCGTTCTCGTATTAACCTAATATCAAAAGGAGGTTAGTCTCAATTTCTCTATTGCCGCTCATTTTGTTACCTTGTTTTGTTGGTTTTTAAAGGAGAATTTATAGAGTACCTATTGTTCTATGTGCCTTTAATATTAATTTACTCTTTTTGGATCTTTGATGACATTCCTGCACTAGTTGATTTGGTGTTAGATGATGCAATACAGCATTTTCAGAAACTTGCTGAATGGGATAGGGATAGAGAAGGCCATTGGTTGTATCTTGGTCAGTCTTTCAACATCTCCTGAACATTGACAATCAAGTTAAATAGATTAGAGTGATGATGTTTTCATCATCTGCCTAAGCCAAAGAGTGAAGAAGTGTTTCTAAAAGAGCTTTCATCCATATGGGGTTGTTTTTAAAATATTTCCGACATCATGACATCATGTTGATTCGTGCATTTGAGAACATGTGTACTGTGTCAAAAGCAAATAAAATGCTGTACTTTTCTAAAAACCCAGAGACCAAACTGCCATTGGTTTGAGTTTGTTTCTCTCCATCGCATGCACATGGGGAACTCTCTCTTGCTATTCGTGTTTTGAATCTCAGTAGTCTTCAGTATTTTGCTGTTTATTACTCTTTCGGGATTCAGGAACCAACTCTATGTAGTTAATGTAGCTTTTATGTACATTGTCTGATTCATAAAGATGATATTCATGGTGCAATCGTGAGTTGTTGTGAGCATGATAAAAGCATCATCTTGCTGGCTGAACAATGAAATGCGAGAATTTGGGTTGAGTGGTTTAAGGTCTTTTGTTTTAAATCAAGAGGTCAGGAATTCTATTCCTGGGGCCCCTTCTGAGGATGTTATATCCCACAAGTTTTCAAACTATTCAGAACTTAGCCAACTTGTAAATTAAGTCAGGAGTGACAATTGAAAATGTAGTGGAATGTAGTAAACGAGAATTAAATGGCATAAAAGAATTAGCATAGGAAATCCAAGGAAAGAGCTGGCTTAACTTTTAATTTGATGACACCATTTTTTATAGTGATTCTTATTTAGAGGATAAATGTATGCTTCACATATAATGAACTTCTGATTTCATTTTGATGTTGAAATGTACCTTTCGGGGTAATTCTTCTCTATTATAGTAATAATTATGCAGAACTCCACTTTGATGCTCTTTTAGAGTACATTAATAATATCAAAACATTTCAGTCATTTTATTGCAACTGTCTCTTAATTATCTTTCTATCAGCATATTGATGAGTTGGCTTTTCTTGTTTTAATGGTTCAAATTCAGGTGGACTTCTCAAGAAGCAGATGGAGACTACCAAGAATCCTAACTTGGCTCCACCATCAAAATGATTTAGAGTTCTCCAAACAGGTATCATCTTGTCTCTGTGGTTTATCCAGAGATTCTACTTCAATGATTTAATCTTTTCCATACAACTGCAGAACTGTAACTTGATTAGCCTAAACGTTGAGCTTTACATAGGCATGTGAACTGTAACAGCCGGTTGCTTTTATACCAGACGGTATCCTGTAAATTCATTTTGAAAGAGTAGAATGTCAGTAATTGTTATGTGCTTTTTACAAAGAAGGTGATCATTCAGTCAAAGTCTTGCTTTCTAATTTTACCAACTAAAAGATATCATTTGATTGTGGGTAAGTGATATGTTGGTTAAGTTGGCGCAGTATATGAACATTTTAAATAATTTACAATGGCTTTCTTTTTTTCTTTCAACTTCAAACTAGAATTGCAAAGTTCAAATAAAAAAGTCCTAGTTGACAGAAAAGAGCAAAAAAGACTCTTCTTTAAGTATCTTCCAGCTCTATATATATGTACATATAGATCGTGCTTCTTCTTACTTGGGTTAACACTTACAGAATTTCACCTTATCGTCAAGTTTCAATGAAATTAGAACGAGGGGAAGTAGTAGCTCAATAATATTGAAAAGCTCAGAAATTAAATTTTTAACTCCCAATTTAGTTTGGTTTGATAAAGAAACTTTGGAAGATTAAACCGAATTGGGACTATTATGTAACTAAATTATGTCTTCAAGTTGGAAATCGTTGTGCAATGTTACATGCTCTATGTTTTCATGACCTCCATTTCTGGAAATTCCACTGTTGATTACGATGGGGATGGAAGTATGATGATAAATGAGATGTAACAAGATTCTTTTGATTTTTATGTAATAAAGGAAAACTGGCAAATTAATGTAGCAACTCAAACATGTAAATTAAAGCAAAAATGTGTCCGCAGCCCTTCAAGGACTAGAACTCTCAGGACTGATCTTATTCACAAAAGGATGAGCAAGAAGCTGCTCTACAGTCCCTCTTTTCTTCCAATCCTTCTCCAAACAACACCTCACAAAGCTCCGAAACTCCATGGAAGCTCCCTCCGGCATCTCCAGCCTCTCCCCCAGGCATATTGCACATATCAACGCTGCCCAATCTGGCTTCTCCCCCATCCCAATCAACGGATAATGACCAACTAAACACTCCAACACCACCACCCCAAGTGACCAAACATCGCCTGCAAATCCATCTGCATTATTATCCCCACCCCACCTCTCAGGATCAACCCTTTCAGGACTCATGTAAGCACAAGTTCCATCGTTTGAATCCATTCCATTGCGCATGCCAGTGCCAGTTCCAGTGCCGATGATCCTACTCACTCCAAAATCTGCTATCTTCACCTCCCCTTTTCCATTTATCAGAAGATTTGATGGCTTTATATCACCATGAACTATCCGCAGTCCATGCAAATACTGCAACCCTTTCAGCATGCGATAAGCAACTCTGGCAATAACATCTTCTGACAATGTCTCGCGCACATGCAGAGCGTCGGATAATGATCCTCCCTCCATGTGTTCCATCACAAAGCAAATCTCTCCTTCAATGGTGTAAAACACTGCATGGCATTTGACAATGAACTCGGAGTCCACCCGTTTGAGAATCCCTGCCTCGCGGGCAGCCTGGTGGCAAATGGAGACGGCATTTTGATCAAAACGGAGAACCTTCAAGGCATAGATAGAGCTGCTTTTTTGGTTACGAACTTTGTAGACAGTGGCACCATTGCCGTGGCCAAGAACCGAGAGTTTCTTCAAGTCTGCAAGGCTTTCAACGTCCGGGGAGTTGGGGCTCGCAGTTTCCGGCGGCAAGTGGTAATGGTACTGGGAGAAGTAATTGGGTGACGGGAGGGATACTCTAAGAGCTTGTTGGTGTCTTCTTTCTCTTACCAATGCCATTTACACACTGATCTCTCAGACTAAAAATTCTCATAATTGAAGTGTTAAAATAAGATGATTGAGAGGGGGAAAGGAATGTGGTTGATTGAGAGATACAATCCCAAAATGAACGGGCAGGTGAGGAATTTGAGGAGATGAATGTCAGCATAAAATTAATGGAACGTGTAAAGGGAAGAGTTGATAATGGAATCTGAGTCCTCAACGGAAGGTAAAGCCATGAAGCAGCCGCTTTTTGCTTAGCTAACAATAACAAAATAATATAAAACGTGGAAAATTTTCCCATGTGTAATGTCAATAATAGTGACATTATTTTTACTGAGAGAATACGGCGTAAAATTATGAATCAAATTAATCTTTAAAAAATCCGATCCAATTCTTAAACAAATTGAAATTCATTAGTTTTAGAAATTTTCAAACCAAATAAAATGATACAAGTAATACCAATAATCTGTAACCTATAAAATGTACTACCATTTGATAGAAGAAACAATAACGTTCATTCATTTCAAAAGTTTTATCTCAAATTTATTATTTTAAGATGTTAATAAAATAATTATTGGGTAAATATGATATGGCTGTCAAATAAGATCACACAACTGAGATGTGAATTTTATGATATACTTTAGTATGTTTAGTTTAACATTACCCCAAAGGAAAAGGGTAAAATATAAAATTCCTCGCACCAATGTTACGTCACGGTAACGATAATCAATGTGACAAGTTTAACTTACAGAAATGCATTCAACAATCAACACAGTTAGAAGTGACATTCTTTTGCAAATAAAACAATGAGACCCCAAACTTGGACTTCAATCAAAGCATCCCATGTGGTTGATATTTAGGATTTTTTTAATTTTTTTTAAGGGAAAATACTCAACCCGGATTTGCTTACAAATTTTAACTTAATCTTGAAAGCTTTTCTAGCTGACACAATACACCTGTCTATCTAATGTCAGCGTAATATCTTCTCAACTAAACTGGGGTCTCTATTTTGGTGTGTTTTGTTACCTAAAACCATTTGACTCTAGCAAGTTAGGTCTAAAACTGCTTCCACCAGTTCAGGACCTGCAGATACTATGCAAAACATTATGGACAGGAGTATGGAGTATGGACAACCTACTTTTTCAAATATTCCAAGTCAGAATATTTCCCACAAAGTTGTCATCAAACCAAAATAACAAAACCAGTAGAAAGTCAATTCAACTGAATCCAACTCTAACTTTCCAAAAATTATTTCATCATAGGATTATCTAATACAAGAACACCATACAAGTACTAAAAAGGTATTTGAGATCAGTAATATTGCCAATTCTATTAAAGGGAAATATAGTTGAATTTCCAGAAACAAGTAATTAAAAGAAGTCAGTCCTTACAAAAAGATGGCTGGGAGCAACAACCTGTACAATAGGAGAAAATTCCGAATCTATAGCCTACACCCGTTTAGACTCCACACCAAGGCGAAGGATAATCCAGGTAAAAGACGAGGAAAAAAAAGGAGGAGTAAATTTTAGGTCTCAATATGAGCACAACAAAGAGAGTGAAAAGATACAAGAAGAAATAGCTGTTTCCAACTAACAAAATAGGAGTAACGCATGAGAGAAGGATCACTGGTTTAACTTTAGGTATTACCTCAGATCTCGAAAGAGCCAATTATGCATTCAGCTCAAACCACTTTTGCATCAGAATTAAGAAGACCCATTTGTTCTGTGAGCTGATCCATATGCTCAACTTTGTCCCATCCATTCTCTGTTGGCTGCATTTCATTTCCCTGTGTTTTACCATCCACTGAGGTTGATAAAACATCCTCCGGCACTGGGCTTTGCAAAAGGTCATTCCAAAAGCTAGAAGCGTCGAGCAAAGCATCAATGTCAGGATCAGGTGAAAGTCCATCTATTTCTATAGGCACTGAACCATTTATCATCAATGAAGTCGGATCCATATAATCTCCATTACCCATCTTGGGTACCATGTAATTGTCTCCAGGAATATCAACAATACTTTCTGGTGCTATTTCTGGCATTTCAGGCATAATTATGTCTTCCTGTGAAATCGGGATGGAAGGTTCCCCTTGAGCTCCAACCAGCATACTAATATCAGGAAATTCATCTGTTGTGATCTTTTCAGAAGATGTGACATGTGGGGAAGACTGTGATTCAGACATGGCAGCTGAAGGACCATGACCTGACATCCTTGAAGCAGCTGGCACGTAAGATGACTGCCCAGAAGTTGGAGGAACCTCTTGAAGCGTTACTCCTGATACACGGCTGGGAGAGCTCCCACGATTAGATGATGACAAACCATCACCAATCAGGAAATTATCATGATCATTGTTAAAAGATTCTAACCGAGAAGACTCCATTTTCACGATCTTCCTGAGCATCGATTTCGCTGCCTCATTCATTGAAGGCTGGTATTTAACAATCTGTCCATCAGGAGCAGTAGAACCACCATCGTCAGCAACACCTTCTTGCCTGAGCCTACGCTTTTTGTTCGCTTCAGTTATGCGTCTATTACTATCATTTTGCTGCTGTACAAACTGGGCTAAGAAACCAGGGCTCTGTACTGCCTTTGCCAGGAATGACATCATCTGTTGCTGTCGCTGCTCCATCCCCTGAAGACGCTGCACCATGGTTTGGAGCTGGCCATCAGTAGCTTGCTGCTGCTGCCTCAACCTGACCAGTTCCTGCATAAGCACATTCTTGTCCCTCTTCAGTCTCTCAACTTCTTCCTCAAGCCCAAATTTGCCAACCTCAACACAAGCACCCACAGATGAGTTTTGTCCATGTGGTTGCTGTGGCTGTTGATGACCATGTCCATGGGCAGGTTTTCGTCTACTAATTCCTCGAAGCAGGTGTTTTTGACCCCGTAAAAAGCCTTCATTTGCAAATTCCCAGCGATCTGGATCAACTTTCCTGAAACCCTGTTTTAAACAAATGGTTATGGCAAAAACATGATGTAACTTCACACGGCAGAATTGACCAAGAAAACAAACACATGGAGTTAATATTTTTGGCCTACCCCAAAGTTTGAACTAAAAACAAGTAGATATGGGTGACTTTAAAATTTGACAAAAATTTTCATACTTTCAAGAGATAATTAGTTTTAATAATCAGGGCTAGTTATTTAATTCATGTGATTCCCAAAATGAAAGAAGAATATCAAACTTCTCACCCCAGATCCAACAGAGTGGAAGCTCAGATGACGGATCAAGGGATAAGAATCTAGATTTTGGGTGGTGGGAAGCAAAGGCATTGTGGTGCCTAAAATAGAAGAGAATGAACAGAACATGCTGGACCAAATTCCATTAAGAGGACAAGGTTAATGGTGGTGTAAGGAAGGTCGTTGTCAATACTGGTGGAGGACTGGAACCACTTGATACAATGCAGAGCTTCCCATATCCATTATCTGATGTTCCCCTCAATGATTCCGTATCTTCACAAATCACAACCAAATGGAGTGTTTCTGTAATAGTTTGAATGATTTGGGAAAAAGTTTATTAAATTCTAAACCTAGATTAACACTCCATTACACTACTATACCAAGATTCTTTAACTTCAAATTTATCTCATTTAAGTTAATTTGGGAAATTTCCCACCTCAAAAAACCCAGAACAATTTAAGCCACAAAGAAACAGATCTACATTCTTTCCTTACTCCACCATTCTCAATCTCCTCAGTAAGCTAATTAGTACACTTTAGATACCAGTGAACTCATCATGTGGAAAACTCAGGTTCGCACAAAAGCCATTCTATAATCCCACAACAACCTAAAACTCATCCCTACAATGTACTCAGAGCCAAGTCGTCAATACTCAATACCAATGTCCTGGAAAAATGTCATGTAAAAAAGGAAAAACAACAGAGTAAATAAAATGAGTAACTCACACTTAGATTCCTATAAATCAGACAAGATCGAAACAATCATTCCTATGCCTTTCACTCAATTTCCACATAAATTACACAAGAGCAGTTTCCTGAAAACAACTCAATCATAACCAAAATCCAAAAAGAATCTCAAACACTATCTCAAAATGGTCAGTATAAAGAAGCCAAACCCCTAACAAAAATTTATCCCCAAATTAACAAATCAACAATTTCCACCACTTATCAAGAACCCAATCCAAAAAGAAAGAGAAGGACCTAAAAGAACAAACTGAAGTTCATTCGGACTAACTAAAACATAAACAATAACCCTAACAACTAATAAAGTAATCAAACTCAACAAACTAGAAATTAATTAAAACATAAAAAAAAAAAAAACCAAAAAAAGATTAAAACTAACCAACTTTTAAAAATAAGTCAAGAAAGCGCAAAGGCTCAATAATCCTACTTACGTAAGTGTTTAACTGACGAACGAAGCTAGAAAAGTTATTATGCTTAAAGTACTTTGGAAGGAGGTCACGCGCGAACTCAGGAGGATTCCAAACAACGAAACTATTATTGGTCGGGCTCCAAGACACGATCGAGTCCGTCGCCGGATCGTCTACCATGTCGTACGTCTTGCTCAAGAACGGCGGCGGCGCATTTGCCGCGTTATGAACAGGAGCCGGCTGCGGAGGTGCACTACTCGTCGGGGGATCGCCGCCGCCGCCGCCTCCCGTGGTGCTACTGGCGGCTCCATCCATGGTAACTAATTACACTAAAAAAATTTACAGAAAAAAAAAAAAAAAAAAACCTCAAAAGAAGGAGGAGAAATATTAGGGTTTTACGACAATTAAAATGAGCGCCATTGGGGATAAGTTATCGTTTGTGTGATTAATATTAAGAAACCCTAGAATTTAGAGAAAATTTTTAAGACAGATTTAGAGAGATAGCGAGGTGGTTGTACGGTCACGGGAGGTTGGGGGTTTAAAATGCGTAGAATAGCGACGTGGAGACGGGCACTACCCAGTTAACGGCGAGAGTGATGGCGGGTGAAATTACAAATATAGGATACTATTTTCATCTAAGTTTCCGGATTTACCCTTGTATCTTGGACAAAGGATTGAATGGGAGTATTTCAACAAATCTGTCTCCTTCAACGAGGCAAACTGGTCCAATACTTTTCTCTTCAAAATTGTGGTAAAAAATGAAAATTGTCGACACCATTTTGCTATAATGAAAGATGTGATAAATATATATTTATATAAATCTAATTCTAGTTTTTTTCTGTTAAATAAATTATTATAAAATATATTCTTTTATTTTTTACTCTTAAAAATATCAAATATTAACCACCACTAGATGGTAAAAATATAAAAAAGTATCATATATGGTTTTTCAAGTTGAAATCTCCTTAATAATAAAAAAATAAGAGGAGAATCTAACATGATTTTTCAAATTCGAGTCTTCACAGTTGTTAAAAGGGTGGTCATTAGAACTCGTATTTGATCAATAGTTTCAAGATCTCGAAAGATTAATTAAAATGTACGTAAACTGACTTGAACACTCCGATCATTAAAAAAAAAAAATGTTAAATATTATATGATACAACACAAATTCTATTTTGAAGTTATTAAATTTGAATAATATATAACTAAAAAATTTCTTATAATTTCTCTACTATTGGAATTTGGAATGATAAGCCCAAATATCAATGTAATGAGAGGATCAACTATCATTCAATCTCTTTCTCATTAAAAACAGGGGCCGACTCAACAGGATAACTCAATTTCATAGTCCAGACAAGCTGGCTCTATTATAGTATTATATATTTTTCAATTTTTATTTCAAAAAGTTATTAAAAAGGCACTGTAAATTATCAAAATACCCTTAAGTGAAAAGTTAAGCATCACGGTTCACGGATTCCCGTGAGATGATTGTATGACAGCCATGGTATTATTTATTTCTCCTCTCTTTATTGGTATATTTAAATCTCTTTCTTTGTGTGTTTTATTGTCGAAGAAATTTGGCGGGAAAGGGAAAAATAATGAGCTCGTCGGCGATAGACGCAGAAGCGCCAGATCTTGTGTGCCAGCTCGACAATGTTCAAGGCATGGTCGATGCTCTCTCCGCCGTTCGATGGAAACGACAACAGGTTTGATCCTAAACACTTGACTTTAATTACCGAGATTTTTTTTTTTTTTTTTTTTAAAGAGAAGAAAAATTTTCTCTCCTTTCATTCTTTGTTAGGAACCGTGAATATCGATTGCTACTCACTGTTGTTGTTGCATTTAGGATGCGGTAATTGAATTGTCAGAACACGGCATCGTTTTGATAGTTGAGGAATCCGGTTGTCTCCAAGGCAAAGTGTATCTTAAACGTGAGGTATTGAGAACCTAAATTCTCTGTTTGGTTGCCGGGAAAATGAAATCAAATTTCGAAAAACTTTAAAGTCTAGTTGCTTCTTTGAAAAAAAAAAATATTTGAAACAAGAGAAAAATTATATGTTTAACTTAGCTGACTAACTTGAATTAATGAATTTTTGTTTTTAACTTTGGTTAGGTATGGTACCCAGTAGTGTTCAGACTTTTATTCAAGTTATGTTTAGGGGATAATTTGTTTTGATTGACAGTTTTGGATGGTGAATTTGGCTTTGTCATTGTAGCTTTTCATGCAATATGAGTATACCGCGCAAGGGCATCCCAGGTTTGGGGTGAGCTTGGGACTTTTTGTTGATTGCTTGAACACATTTTCGGTTCCTGGCCATTCAAGCTTGATTGAGATTCGATATCCGGGGCCTGACATGGAACTTCTTCTCAAGTATGTTCATATTTCTCTGCTATCTCTATGTTATTGCAATTTGAACTAGTGAGGATTCGAATTATAACCGTTTGGGACTCCAGGAAAATAAGATGGTAACATGTTAGATGTTGAATAAAGGGGGAAGCAAACTGACCTTTGTGTTTCTGGTTTTATATTTTCCTCCCTTTTTCATGTAATCAAAGGAAATATAGTCTCTATTTCAATGTGGTTTCGATTATTTCAAGCTTTTGATTGCTGTAAGAATGTTATGCTCTTTTCTACAAATTGCTTCCTGGGGTTATGGTGTAAGTCATTCTTTGCACTTATATAATTAAAACCCATACTCATATCAACATTGAGAGTTAGATCATACTGTTCATGGAAAAGATGGGGCCTTTGGCTAGTTCTTCCATCAAATCATACTTGTTTACTTCTTCTTTCCTCATTCAAATGGTTGCCATTGATCAACATATTATGCTTGATTGAGCAGAATAATAAATTGTAAAGCCAATATCGTAAAATATTTAGTTGAGGATGATTAGCAACTAGCTGCCAAGCACTGGACTAACAGCTTAATGAGGTTCTATTAATTTTTGTATCTGGATTTAGTACAATGACTTAAATCCTATTATTAATCATTTGTTTTTTCTTTTCTTTAAATTCATAGATCTGTTGATTCACCGGATGCTAGCATCTACGCAGAAATCAGGACAAAAATACCCGATACTATTTCATGGGATTACAATTTTGAACCGGCAGGAAGCACACCTCTCAGTTTTACTGTCAAGGTATACTCTCATATATAACATTACAACTGCGTGAGAAGGGTTTGGGGAGTTGAAAAGCTTCCCAGTATACATCCACCACTCTTCACAACTATCTTCAAAATATTTTTAATCCAGTTGAAGAGACATATTCAAGCAGTACAAGTAGGAAAGAAAGCTGAACAAAGGGCATTTTTCAAATCCATAGAAAGTCAAAATTCCACCCAACAGAACCTGAAGAAGAAACTGTCCTGCCCCTGAATTACCAATGTGAGGGATGGATAACCTACAAAGATGAGGAAGACACTTTACCAAATCAGACATATAGCTCCTACATATTATATCTAATTATGGATTGCAGAATTTCCTGAAACCTTGGTGTTTTTACACTGCAGTCTGCAGCACTGAAGGAAGCTATTGATGACCTTGAGTGGCCCGGATCAAGCATCCAGATCAAACTGCAACCAGATCCCCCTTCTGTTACCTTCAAAGGAGAAGGTCATGGAGACTTGCAGGTGTCATTTAATTTTGACTTATTAGACAGCATCTGTTGCCAGCAATTAAACATATTCAGAAGTAATAATTTTTTATTTTTTACGCAGATAGACTTGATGTATTATGTAAACACTGATCTTTTGATAGCATTTAACTGTGACCATGAAGTCTCTTACAGGTATCCTTAAGTTATTTGATTTTTAACGTTTAATAAAAGATTAAAGTTACTCTAAACTGACCTTGATGCTTCTTGCCTCGACACGAACAGGTATAAATACAAGTTTCTCCGAGCAACAACCTCAAATATACCAAGCAGTGCTATTAAAGAAAACAGAGGAAGTAAGTTGACTATTGGGAGAGGTGGGATGTTAAAAGTCCAGCACCTGGTTTCTGTGGCTAGGTCCTCTGCTCCACACCCACACATTGATTCTGCCGGCTATCAGCAACCCAGTCGGATTGCTTTCGTTGAGTTCTTTGTGAAGCCTGAAGAAGATGAAGACACCGTAAATGATTGATGTGATTTTCTTGCAAGACCTTTTCCTTCAAATTTGTGACAACTAATTGCTCTCTTTAAAGTGATTGTGTTCATTGCTCCTTCACAGGCTAATGAGCATGTATCACTTGTATATTTGTCATATGCTGTTTAAATAGGATACACAAAACTGACTCAGATTTACCCGATAACAATAAATGAATAAAAGAGAACAACTTTATAAACAAATATCACATTGCGAGGTAGCTCATAAAAATATTCCCATTTGACCTGAGAATAAAAACTGACTGCCAGAAACGACATAAAACACAGCTATGCTCTCCATGAGCCCGTTCTCTCAGTCACAGCTTCTGTAGAGTACCCTTCAGGCATTTCTTTTCTATCTTGCGGAAGATTTTTACTTGTGGGTTTGTAATTACAAATGATGTAAATGCGAGACACGTAAGAGGACAGTAAAGAGAAATAAGCATGTGACCAAAAAATCTATTCATATAGCCATAAACAAAAGCACTAAGACATGCTCAAGCACAGTGCATTGGCTAGGAATTATAGAGCAACCCATAGTGGTTTATTAAGATTATCAATCAAACTGAACAACTTCCTATACAAACTTATGTTTAAGTGCAAGGTTTTAAAGAGAATAACACACAATTAAGACCCACGGCCAGAATCTAGATATTGACTTGATATCTTAGCTTGGTTAACCAAAAATGGCGTGGCACAGTGGATTATGTGCCAAGAATTCTGTAATGATGACACAAGAAGCAAAAAGAAAAATATGGGAAGCAGTAGACATCAAGACTAGGGGCATTTAGAATAATATTTTGAAAAAAATTAAATTAGACGGGTATTACGATGCATGATTTGGAAATTAACAAAATACCTCATATGTTTATTTATTTATTAAACACCCCTATAATAAAATATTAAAAATTAACAAAAACATTCCCAACTCACCCATTAAATATGGACAGCCAGAATCTGGTAAATGTGAGTTGTTGAGGTATTTTTACAATTTCTAAAAAAATTATTTGGAGGTATTTAGTTAAATTAATAAATTTAGGGGGGTTTAAAAAAATTGAATAATATTTTGAGAATAAATCATTTTTACTGTTTAACTTTATTAAGAATACTAATAATAGTATTCCCGAGAATGAACCAAACGGACCCTAGGCATTTGATACACAAGATAGGAAAATAAAAAATTCACATAATTGATTGAACCATATATCAAAACTGTCTATACATTTCTCTTTTCCTTTTGATAAATAATGCATAATTGATTTAACCATATATCAAAACTGTCTATACATTTCTCTTTTCCTTCTGATAAATAATGGATTTTGAGGTAAATTAAGGGTCCGTTTGGTTCACTCTTGGGAATAATATTATTAGTATTCCCAATAAAATTAAACAGTAAAAATGACTTATTCTCAAAATATTATTCTATATTATTCAATTTCTTTTAAACCACCTTAAATTTATTAATTTAACTAAATACCCCCAAATATTTTTTTTAGAAATTACAAAAACACCCCAACAACTCACATTTGTCAAATTCTGTTTGTCCATATTTAATGAGTGGGTTGAGGTGTTTTTGTTAACTTTTAATATTTTATTATAGGGGTGTTTAGTAAATAAACAAACATAATGGGTATTTTTGTTAATTTCCAAATCCTACATCGTAATACCCGTCTAATTTAACTTTTTTCAAAATATTATTCTAAAAACTATCAGAATAATGAACCAAACGGATCCTAAGAATTGCAGAAAAGTGACCTTTTAACAGACCAAGAAAAACTGTCTTTATGAGGTAATTCAGAGGGAAATTCTCACAGGAAAAAAAAAAGTAGAAAGCGGCTATTCCATGAGCAAAACATTACAGGTTTACACGGCTAAATATAAGGATTAAGAAAGATAGAAGAACCCACCCTGGAATAAGCAGTATGCCTGGCCTCATGGAAGTACATATGAAAATATTTATTAGTAATCAAACTTTGAAGATGTGGAACTCAAATGAAAAGAAAAAAATATTAATAACTCTGCAGAATGCAGGTAGGGGGCGAAGCCTGGGTTCCCATCAGATATTTTTGAAACTGAAAAATTGCACAATAAAACAATAAATAATTGACTTCACCAGTATAAGCAATATGTATGTGATATGTGCATGAATCAAGTAACGGTTTTTTTTTTTTATTTTATTGGGAGAGAAAGATGAGCTTTCATACCCAAGTGCAGAGATCTCAAAGAACTGAGCCAAAAGTTGCCTTTTTTTTTTTTTTTTTTTTTTTTTTTTCTAACAAATGCTAACCTGCCACAATTTGAACTCATGAAATGACTTCCAGTTCAGTGGTTGCTGCATCAAGACTAAGAATTAGTAAAACTAGAAGCAATAAACGTGTCTGGGTGTGAGCATGACAGAGTGAGAGCTTCAATGGTTATAGCAGATTTGATAAAGTAATGAAACTCACCTAAAAAGTTCCATGCAGTCAAACAAGAATCAACCTCTTACACAATTCCAACCCACAATTAACTTCTTATTGCCTCTTCACAATTTTAATTCATGAATAACTGCCAAAAAAAACCGAACCAACAAAGGAAAATTTTATCCATCAACAGACACCATATAGAATATATGTCTTTGCATGTGTGTGTCTGTGTAAACAAACTTAGGAAATCACATTTATAAGATCAGAAGTCATTATCTCTGATGAAATCCACGGAATAATGTATGCAAGATAAATCAATAAGGATGAACAAGACGGTGAAACCTCCCACAATTCAACTTTATGAAAATGAATTGAGTTAATATTGTACTTCATTACAACTAAAAATTAGCAAAGATAGAAGCTGTATATGTGGATCCATATGAGACTAGAGAGTAAGAAATAGAAAGCTGTAATTGTTATAATAAATTTGAAGATGCAATAGAGGTTGCTTTCTGTTGAACAAACAATTTCTAGTACATAACTTCGCCAACTAAGGTAAATACCATCCTTCAACAGAAGCTTTATGTCAAACCCCACTCTGGAGATGTAACTTAAGGTTCCTGAATAAGTATCTCTAAGAGATTGTCATGATTATTACTAATCAAATGAAATAACTTTCAATACAAGTATCATTTATCATGCAGAAAAAGTAATAACTTCTACCTTAATTGAAAGTCATATTCAAACAAATATATTACTGAGACACGTATATATAACTAAGCACAGGATTTTTAAGAAGCACATCTCAACATGGGCAACAAAAAAAACCAAGGAATTAACAAAGGTTTCCTCTCAATGTCTTATCTATTTCCTCGTCTTTTTCACAGTCTCTAATACCCATATGCCCAATACCTTACTAAGAGCAGGGGAAACAAATCATATGCCCAACAGGTTACTGAGAAGCAAATGAAGCTTTTACAGGGAAGATTCTACTGATTTTCAAGGTAAGATTTTATTATTAAAACCTAAAAATCAAAACTTGCAGAGGAATGAAAATCACACTTCCATATATTGTAACAAAGTCAAGCCTTTCTCGATAAGTAAAAAATAACAAGTCACATTACAATCCTTTTTTAAAACTTCAAGTCGTCACTCAGTGTGTGTCCTATGAGCAGTTTAAGAAACTTCACTTGAAATATAATACAAGGCCATAAAATCTGAAATGCATAAAACTTAGATTCCCCCAAAATTTCAGTTCACTTCGATAGTAAAATCTTATTCCCAAAAAAATCAGTTGATTTGGACAGTATTTAACTGGTTTAGTGTGATTCAAAGGCATCGTGACAGAATATGATAATAAATTGGCATTAATAGGAGACATATTTAAGAATTTCCTCAAAAAATAAAATGCAAGGAGAGTGAATATGATTTGAAAAACAAACTAGCCTTGCAAAGGTGATTCCTCAAATTTTAGATCATTTAGAGCTGATTTTTCACATGAATAAACACAGGAAGCAGACTATCGATACACTTATAGCAGAGAAGACAATTTTAAAATTTCACCAAATATAAAATGCAAAGCCAACGACAGAGTAACTGTATATGCCAACAAACTCATAGCACCAGAATTCATTTTCTTAATACTTAGAAGCCAAACTTTTAAACATTTTAAAACAAAACAAACCTGTTTACATCCTAGATGATGGTCTAGTCTGTATCAGTAAAAAAACAGAGCATAGAAAAACCAAAAGGCAAGCAACCTCTATTTTTCTTTTTTTCTTTTTCCATTTTAATATTTTGATAAGAAACATAGCTTCAAAAACCCATTGACACCAAATTTTAGCAGAATGTTGGTTCTGTCTGTTTATGCAATATTCAAGGTTTAGCGGATACAGTACTAAAGCAGCAAGAGTGAAATCAGAAAATTTTCAAAAAATGAATAACCCTACAAATCAGTTTTTTAAACCATTAAACATCTTTTGTTCAAATTTTACCTACCCAATTTCTAGGACTGAATGCCTCCTTGATCCTTTAAGCTCTCATTTTCCTTCCTTTATTAACTCAACCTCATAATGGAAGCCCAATAAATTTTGCACTATTTATTGATACTCTGAACCTCCCTGAATAATCTGTTAAATCCCTCAAAACGTCAGAATTAAAAAATGTTGTCAGAAAGAAAGAAAACTAAGGAAGCTATGATTTTAGAACTTGGTGATGACTTTACCATGAAGATATTAACATCCATCGCTGCACCTTTTCGTTATCTTCAAATTTTGTCCCAAGAACACTTGGCAGAAGTGTTGAGATTGCCACTAGGCCTGCCACAATTTGGTAGAGAATCTCCAGTGATAAGAGATTTTCTTGTAATGTGTTTGAATGAGTATGATAGAGACGCAGGCATACTTGTTTGTACCTGAAAACCTAAAAATTATTAAAGAAATTAAAGATTGATTTATTATGTAACATACAAAAGATTGATATACTACAAGAAGTAATATACAAAAGATTGATATACTACAAGAAGGAATAAGGTTATGTGCTCTAAATGAAAGTAGTGGCATATAATTTGGTATTTAATAGAAGTTTTCAGCACTGTTTGGAAAGATGCATCCACAAAAGAGAGAGGCCACATATCCAAGGAAACAAATGCGATTATATAATATGAAATCTAAAACATAATTATCCACTATCTATATTAGTACTACATTAGCACAACATTAGCACAATATGTGCACCACGAATTAATATGTCTATCCAATATTCCCACCACTAGTATCACACTTTATTGTTCATGTTATACTAAAACTTTCTCTAGAAACAACAAATTTCTCCTACACTAGTTACAATAGTGTTACATAATTACAAAATAGGTGAGCTTATGATTTATTAATTACATAATACATATGCATTTAAAAACACACATGCATTTAGTAGATGAAAATATATTGCATCCTGTTGATGCCAAAAGTAGTATGAAAAGTAATATAAAGTTACATTAACAAGATTTTCCAAAATTATGAATTCTAGTATACATTTCAAATGAAAATTTCAGAACGTAAAACAAGAAGTAGTTATGAAGATTACCATCACATCTTCTCATATGTTTTCTTCAAGTTGTTTACAAGCTTCGGTAACCACATCAGTATTAAGCCCCAGTGTCTTATAGGTAATGTCATCTGGAAAAATACCATTCTTCTTCATCTCTTCAAACACATTATAGGCTTCCTTAATCTGCCCAAGTCTTTGGTACCCAGCAATGAGAACATTATAAGTCACCACATCAGAAGTGATATTGTTCTTGTTCATTTCATGTAATAACAAACTTGCCATATCCATTCGTTGTAACTTGCAAAAACCATCAATTAGGCAGGTATAGGTAACAACATTAGGCAAACAACCTTTGTGTAACATATCATTATATAGTGCCCAAGCCTTGTTCATATCTCCAATTCTACAAAACCCAGCAATAAGGGATGTGCAACAAATTGTATCTGGAATCAAACCTTTTTCAATCATTTCCTTAAAGAAACCATATGCTTCATCCATTTTGCTCAAATGGCAGAATATGTTGATAAGAATTGTATATGTGACTGTGTCAGGCATGATCCCAGCTTTTAGCATTCTTGAGTACAACCTCAAAGCCGTCTTCGGGTTCAACTTTTTAGCATATCCATCTACAATGGTAGCATAATGTAAAATTCCAGGAAGAATATTCTTCTTAAACATTTGAGGAAGAAGTTCCCATGCTTTTTCTGGTTTTTTGTCCTTGCAAAGCCTATTTATGATTGTGCTATATGTATACGAATTAGGAATAAAGCCATAGCCTTGCATTGCATTTATAAATTTCAATGTTTTCTCCAAATGCCCTTTTTTGCAATATTCATCAGCAATAATGTTGCAGGTATAGGTATTTGGTGAGAGGCCAATCTGCAGCATCATACTTAAAAGCTCCAAGGCTTTTTCTAAGACTCCCAGTTTGCACAACCTGTGAATAATTGGGATAAATCTGAATTCACTAGGATCCAAATTATTGGTGGTCATCTCCTCTAAAAGTTTCTTGGCAGAATCCATATCACCCTGAAGACAAAAACCATTGATTAGGATGTTGTACACTTTACAATCATATTCATATCCTAAACAACCAAGATCACGGAACATATCAAGTGATTTGTCCATTATTCCACTCTTACAGAGACCTTTAAGGAGAGAGCTATAGCTAACCAGTGAAGGTTTTATATTATTGTGTTCCATCTCCTTGATCAAATTGAGACCTGTCACAATATCTCCTATATTACAAAACCCATCAACTAAAATGCTGTAGCTATAAACATCTGGTGATATATTCTGGTTCTTCATTTCTTCCAAAACCTTCAAACCTTCATATGGTTCACCTTTTTGGCAGAACCTATGAATAATTGCATTATAACAATAAGCATTAAGAGGTTGATTTCTACATTTCAAATCCTGAATAAATCTCAACGCAAGTTCAACACAACCTACTCTACAAAGTCCATGAATATATGTACTATATGATACAACAGTTGGCCTTTCCCCACTCCTCTCCATATCTTTTAGGATCTCAGTTGCTTGTTCAATATTGATATCCTGCCCAAGACATCCTTTACAATAAAAATTCAACATAATTGTGTATGTGTAAACATTAGGTGATGGCCCTGAGTTCTTCAACCCTTCAAACAAACTTCTCACAAAATCTACCCTACTTGCTTCCACCAAACACTTGAGCAAAAAATTGCATGCCAAGATATCTGGTTGAAGCCCAATTTTCTTAATTTGAACAAAAACATCCACAGCATTTTCAAGCATTGAATTAGATGCAAAAACCCTCATAAGCACAACAACTACAATGCGTGATCTCCAAACATGCTCATGTGAATCCAATATACTTGGAAACAACTCATACATATCCATGTTAGCCTCCTCATAATAACAAACAATATTTCTAAGCAAGGCGTGCACTTCCATTTCCATCCCTGCCAATGCAAATGCATGAACAATGATTCTATATGCATCAAAGGAATGAGAAAATCCATATCTCTGGACAGCTTTGAAGAATCTCATTTCCCTTGTAATCTCCCAATTCAAAGACTTCAAAACTCTCCCAACTAAGGGAAATAATTTGCTCTTTTTTCGTCTACGAAATCTCCTTTGCTGAACATTAATCTCATCAATCAAATTAGTATCAACTACATAAGCCTCAACCCTATCAGGACTATAATCAAACACATGGTCTTCCAACAACAAAGTCGAAGAAGCCGTAGAGATCACTCGAAAACGGCAATTTCCACGGAAAATAACGAGGCTTCTATACAAATTAGACTGAAATGAGCATTTTCTTGTACGGGAGAAAACACTCATTAAAACCCAGATCAAAATTACTCAAGACTTCCAAGCACAGACCACCTTCTACTCCAAACTCTCAAAAATGTGCCACCATTGGCGATTCTTCTCGGACACTCTCTCGTTCTCTTTGTCTTCTTACTTTGTAAATTTTTTAAGGACACCAGAGCAGTTCCTAAGCGGTCAGTTTACAGTTTTTAGTTATCAGCCGAATGGACCAAGCAAGAATCCGCAAGTGCCGGCTTTAACACTTACGCCCTGGGGACTGATAATTGATGACTCGTATAATTAGAGTTGCATATACTTTAGTAGGATTAAGAAAAATGATGACTCATATAATTAGGGTTAAAGTCTATTTAATTAATTCTTAAAATAATAATAACAGGGGAAAAAAAGAGTATTTTGGTATTCACGAATCCATATGTGATGTTTAAGGCTACATTTTTTTCTTTAAAAAAAAAAAAAAAAATTCTGTTAAAGTCTCCTAAAAATTTGAAAAATTACACAAGTGTTACGACGATTATCCACCTCCAACTAGTGTCAATTTTTCGTTACTATTGAAAAGGATTAAGTTAAGTCCACTATTTTGTGAGATTCGAAAATATCTCAGTAACCTAAGAACTTACCATCCAAGCCAGTGGTTAAATTGTGCTTCTTCCTAATAGGTTTAGGTTTATTGGATAATATTTTTGGAAAAATTGGGCAAGCATGCAAGAATAGGTATAATCGCCTTTACTTGTTAATCCTATAGATATAAATACAATAATGCTACGGACACTGACACTTTACACCGAAATTTTACACCAAACGATGTCTCACTTGAGTCAGACGAGCCACGTAATACATTAACAAATATTCCGCAAATAAATGATCGTCCATCAAATATGAACGATCATCCGTTATTATTGAGCAGGTCATTCATTTTAAATAGACTTTCATACAAAATAAAAATAGACTCCCGTCCATATTATATGGACGAGAGTCCATAGTTTAAATTAAAAAAAAAAAAAATTTGAAAACAAAAATTATGAACTATCGTTCATATTCAATGGATGTCCGTTCATATTTAAATTAAAACAAAGTCATGGACGGGTTTGAAGCGAAGTAGGAAAACTTTATTTGTCCAATACTTTAATATCCAGCCACCACATTTACCTACCAGTATACAAAAAATTACTCATCTTGTTTTACAGTAACATAAGATAGACTGAACGACTAAAAATGAGAACAGAAGAGAAAATTTTACCCGAGGTTGTCAAATTATCTCACTTCGAGCAACAAAAAAGTGAGAGACGGAATCCAGGCTCTGGTTATCACAAATGCAAGATCACTATGCAGGTTTCCAAGCAGAAAGGACATAGATGATTCTTCCCTTCCATCCTTGCAAAAGCCACCAGCTGTCTTCATCAATTACAAAATCTTTATGGTAATTGGATCTCACTCTTTGTGTTGCCCCCTTCAAGCCACCAGCTGTCTTCATCAATTACAAAATCTTTATGTAATTGGATCTCACTCTTTGTGTTGCCCCCGTCACTATCTCCCAGTCTAAAGGAACCCGAACAAACTCAGCAGGCCGTCTTTAGAACATTTATGACCTTAGATAAGAGTTACTTTGGAAACTTCTAATAATATAAGTATATATTAAAAAAATTATTTCAAATTTTTTTTTTTTTTGATCTTTTGAGATGCAAAATCATTATGAGAGGTTGGAGGGCAATCGGTAGGCTAACAAAGTTAGATTAGTCAGAGGTTTTGGAGAGTAGATGTTGGAGAAGTGATGGGTGGTGAAATTGGTGATTTCCAATGCTAGGATTGACCGAAAAAGGCTTGAGAAGTTACGGCCTAAAAGGTATCGGTGACTGATGATTGGTAGAATAAACAGATGAGGTATAATAGGGGTTTTGGTGAGAGGACTGAGAAAGGAAGATGGTGGTGTCGGGAAAGGCCAATAATGCCAGGTACATGCCGAAAAGGCCGAAAATGGCTGTCGTGCGCAGTAGAGTTGGGTTGCAAGATTCATCAAAAATTGGTTAAATCAAAGTCTATCAAGGTTGGAAAAACACTTGAAAAATGATAAAGTCATAATTTCGATCGATTTTGGTTAGAAAATCGACTGGAATCAGCTCCAAACCGCTAGTGGAGAAAAAGGGGTAGGGATGATTTATGTGAATGTCAAATTTTTGGATTGAATTGGAGGTGAGTAATTTGAGATATATAAATGACTATTTTAACCTTTTATTATTAAAAAAAATTCAATGTGTTAATTTAAGGGTGTAAATTGAAATATATGAAACTAGAGGTATAAACTTGTTATTTCGTAAAACTTTGAGTGGGAACATATGTCAAAAGCTTATAATAAATTTGGGGTTTTTTAGCTTTTTTTTTTTTTTTAACCCCTTAGCCTCGGTAAGAAATTATACACCATTTTTATTTTTATAATATATTAAAAAAAATTTATAAAAAATTTGGGCCCAATGTTTTGGGGGCCATAGGCAGGTGCCTCACCTGCCTACCCCTTGAGCCAGCCCTAAGGTTTTGGACCCAGCCCTAAGGTTTTGGACTTGCCACTGCTTGTAAGTCTCTGGTCTCTCAACTCGCTCCCAGCCCTCACAAGCTATAACATTCAAGGCCTCCCGGCCAATGATCTCTTTCTCAATCAGCATCCTCTCACGGTCTTCACGGGGTACAATGGTTTCAAGTATATCAAATATTGCAGAGAAATGAAACAAAGCCTCTCGAAACTGGGTTACGAAGAAAGGTGCATTGTAGGCCCCGTTGACAATCCCATGGATAAAAACATCCGGATTATGGAGACCCGAAATTTTGTCCTCAGAATTTGATGGAGACTCGAAATTTCTTCTTGTTATGGTATGTGGATCGTTGAGCGACTTGAGAGTCCTAGAGTTTTATAAATTTATAAGATTTATTTCAAAATAATCCCACCATCTTAGTACTTCTGGTTTAACGCGACCTTGAATTCTTGATAAACCATCAACGAATCAGTATTTTATTTTTGCTCCAGCGAGTTTTTTGTATTTCTTATGTAATTTGATTAATTTAAGAGGAACTCAAAATTATTAAATATCCATATAGGAGAGTCTTTAATACGTATTATATATACACTGTCAAAGAGTTGTTGATACTTCCATGGGAGCATTTCAAAACCTACCCCTCACGTTTAGCTAATACTCAAGTTCATGGTTACAATACCATACATCATCACATTGTACCACTGAACCCTAACAGTGTTAAGTTTTGTTACCTTAAAATAGGAGATTAATACGAAAATACCGCTTTACCCTCACTCTCATTGAATCTGATATTTTTTTGTGACGCTCCACAACTGGAACGTGGTAAATATTAGCCTCACTCTAATTTAATTTTTTTATATGGTTCTTAGAAATAGTGAAATATAAATAGAGTTTACTATTTTTATTTAATTTCCCAAAATACCCCTGGACTGTTAAACTTAATTTGACAGCGTTAGGGTTCAAGGGTATATTTTCATAGTTTCCTGCATAAATACCATGAGTTTAAATATTAGCAGATGGTTAGGGGTAGTTTTTGAAAATTTCCCATACTTTCATGGAAGATTTTCATAGTCTTATAGATTTTTATTAGTCTAAAGAGATTGTTAACAATTAAATTGGTTTTTTATGTTTTTTCCATAAACAAAGCAATCACTAGACAAATTTTGTTTTTAGATTGAGAAACAGCATAAACTTTGTTTTAAACAATATACAAACAAATCTTACGAAAATTTGTGTATAAATTGAGATGGTAGAAAATAAGTAGAAAAGTGAATACAAAAAATCTCTATTTTAAAAACCAAACCAGACCGGTCTGACAGGGACACGGCAGCTTCTCCGGTCCAATTCAGGTCTTAGGGGGTTTTTGCAATATTTCAAAATTATAAGGGTTAATTGTAATTTTTAGGGGTATTTTGGAGATGTGTCAAAAGTTTAGGGATTAATTGGTAATTTTTAAGGTATTTTTTAAATAATGAAAATTTTAAGGACTGATTAAAACTTTTTTAGGGGAATTTTTGTAATATATTAAATTTAAGGGATTAAAAAAAATTTTTAAAAATAAAATTGTGCTAACGTCATCGGTCCAACCGGTTGAACCAATGGCCCATGACCCGTTCAACAAAACGGATTGTCCTCCGGTCTAACTTTTAAAATAACGTAAAAAATTAAACTTATCATGTTCACTTTTTCATTCATTTAGACTCATCATATTCATTTTTCACTGTTTTGAACCATCAGTATTACCGACTCCTCCGACAAGACGATGACTAAACCAGTTCATTCAATGAGCTAATCGTTATCGGTAAAACTAAAACTTGTGCAAAGATCATTTGGAAGCATAATCCATCGATAAGTTACTGTAATGTTTCAGACATTTCACCTTTTTATTCCTTTTTATACGCAAACAATAAATAAATGAAATCTGTCAAAAATGGGCACCCTGTACATTTACATTTAACTACAATAGCCAGCACCGGTGGAAGAAATGTCGCCATAATGAAACAAATATACATCCTTAAAAAAGTAAGCTCCAGGCACCAAAACAAGTACTCTACAACATCAGAGAAGCCATCACCCCAGAGAGATATTTAGCCAACGAATGAACGTGCATCAAAGATCAATCAACTGAAAATCTTGCATTTGGACCAGTTCAACTTGTATAACATCTATAAGAACCTCTATTAAACTTCGATTTCATCAAGATGTACCAAACCAAAAGCTGTTTATGGTTACTACCAAATGTTTGATTCACCCCTTCTCAATTATCCCACAGTGTGTTGCTTGCAACCCTTTGGTCCATAATGCAGAGAGCTGCGCCTCACGATCTTTCTACACAAGTAACAGTAGTGCATTTGGCATGCCCAGCAGAAGATATGATTGTTATTGCCAACCTGTTTATAAAAAAAAATTTGTTAGTTGAGACAACACAAAGTATCTTAAATAACACTTCGGGACTTAGAGAATATGTATGATTCCATTTTTTTCAGAATCTAGTGTTTGCATATACCTAAACTTCATCATTACCGATCCAACTTCACTCACCTTTGCATTGTGTTGACCACAATTAGGGCATAAGTGACCATGATCAGCAAACATTTCGGCTTGAATCTGAGCCACAACCTGTCGGGCATTCATCCGCTCCTCCCAGTTATTAATCGCCTCCTGTGGGAAGAGGTCGCATGTCCCATCACTTCATCAAGAGAAAGATAATTAGGCCCATATCCAGTGATCAAAACACATACATTCAAATAAAAGGAAAAAAACCACCAACTTGTGCAGTAATAAATCACAAACCTAAAATGATCATATCCATCAATTGCTTTGTTACAGCGATAGCAAAAGTACTGCCCACAGTTATGACATACCATCTTATTACAGCCTTCAGTCCTTGAGATTGCCATCTTACAAGATGGACATTGCTTAGCATCACGAAGTATTTCCTTGACACTAAGCATCTCATTGATCATTTCCCTCTCCCTTTGTTTTTGTGATTCCTGTAGCTGTGATGAATTTTGGCGCTCCTGCAAGAAAGGTTTGAGGACATAACTTATGAGCAACAAGATAAATTTTCTACAGTATATAGCATGAGAAGTTTCTGAAGTACCACTGAAAAAGCTGAAATTCAATGGAAAAACTAAATTCTTTAGGGGATCAAACTAAACAAAAAATAAAGCTAGAAAGAGTGAATTGGAAGGACATCAACAATGGAAACCCCAGATTACAACATGGATGATCCCAAACACCATGAAACACCACAAAGTATAATGAAAAAATTTTGGGATACCAAACTCATAGCAGCTTCGAGGTTCTAACACTGTTAACAATCCAGAAAATGTAATGATAAATCGGTCAAACACAAATTAATTTACTCCCTCATCAAAAGGCGTTGGCCTTTTTTTTTTTTTTTTTTAATTACCGGGGTATCCAGCCAGCTTACGTGTACCTCGACTAGTCCCTCAACCCCAAACAAGGCTTCCGAAACAGGGTAAGGCCTACAGTCTGTGCTAATATTGTTGGCCATGACTAGGGCTTGCCCTGTTTTGAAAGCCTTGTTTGGGGTTAGGGACAAGTTAAGGTGCGCGTAAGCTGGCCTACAACCCCGATAACCAAAAAAAAAAAAAAAAAAAAAAAAAGGGCAACAACAATAACATCACTTAGATTTCTTTGATTAATCTTATGATTCTAACATATGAATAATGCGAAAAGCTTTTAAACTGGATACATTCATTAGAGGGATGCTCCTTCCTCTGCTGTTCATCTTCTACATATGGTATTAAGGTCTCGCAATTATTTTATTTTATTAATTCATCTAGCTCTTAATTTCTTCTATTTTTTCTTGGCTTTGGCTGTGTCTTAGACTGGTTTCTTTCAAGGTACGCTGATTAAATACACTTGGCTAAGTGTATTCTTTATTTCTTTCATAAAATCTCCTTGTTCCCAGTTTTATATATATTATTATATATATATACACACACTAGCGAAAAACTTACATACAGATGTATAGCAATGAAATCTGATTTAATAAAAATAAAAAAAAGAGATTAAAGAATACTCTCAGCCTCCATGAAATTGCAATAGAAGTACTCGAAGAAAATCTAACTACCAAACTGAAGTTCAAGCCTGACAGCTATTGGCAGCATTAAACGATAATGCAACAAATAAGTGCACCTTTGTTAGCTTAAGTGATGTTGGGGGTCGAGTATTACAGAATACCAAAGCCAAACTGACCAAGTGGTCTTGTATTGAAACACCCATGCTTGCAATGAGAGGGAGTTTTTCTAGTAGTGGTTGTGTTCAATCGACATGCCTTGCACATGAGGGGCAATATTAGTACTTAAATCTATGGTCAGATCCTTAATATTATCTTGAGCATTTCAGCTAAGCAGTTCACTGAAAAAATTAAAGAACTCTGGCCAATCTACAAGTAGGGTATTATTAGCTGGACATAAATCCTCCCCACAACCCACATTATAACTGACAGTTAAATCTCTGGAAACAGAGAAGATCCAAGGATTATAGCCTAGATATTTATCCAACACGCTTGCCCCAGAGATGCTTGGGTTGTAATGCTATTAAGTATGCATTAATGAAAATCAAAACATAATGTAGAATCAATGGGAAAAGGCGGATACCTGGGCATAAGAGAGATAAGGTTTAATGATTGTGCATGGTTTTCCATATGGCTAAGCATGAGCAATCAAGCTTAGATCAAATGATGCACTGCTGCTCTCTATCAGATAATAACGACTCTCTACTTCAAAAGAGAATTACATAGCAAATAACAATTATGATGTAATGAATGCCCAGAAAATCATTTAGCTCTGGAAATTAGTAATTTTGAAGTCTTGCATCTGAAAAATAGCATGACTTTTTTTTTTTTTTTTTTTTTGGTGTTGGGGGTGGTGGGAAGGGGGAGGTTTAGATTCTACATCCTTCTGGAATTGTCATGACATTTGTGGATCCCCTTCCTCATGCGCTGATAACTATTTTTACCACTTGACTGTCAAACAAGCAAAAAACATGCCAAACTAAAGAATGCCTAAGATACACCAATAATCTTTACCTGCAAAATGCGAAGCTTCAATTCAGGTCATACATGTAGCACCTACATGGCGTCGTTCCCTACAAAGTGCAAAAGCTGTAGAAACACTGGAGCATTGTGCAGTTGTTCTTCATCTTCAATGCAAGGTGTTTCACATCTTGGACAATATGCACACATCAGACATTGACTCAAGTGGTTTTTTGTAACATTAAGGATTCCCAGCGCTCATACTCCTCATCACCAAGCAATCGCTTCAACAACTGGGAGGAACCATACCTCCACATTTTGTTTCGGGACATTGGAGCTTGCCATGCTGCGTTCAGAGACATGTATAGTCAGAATAAGTCTTCAGGCATTTCCCAAAAGAAATGCTTACACGGCAGTCTGACAAAGTCGGTACCTGTAAAATAGAGAACTATTTTATTAACTGCAAAGAGTTTATTAATGGTGCATAGATATCATATTACACAAGAACAATTATATACAAACAATTTGGCTTACATGTAGATGATAAAAAGATGTTATGACTAATAGAATCAAACACTCAAAGTTTACAGAACCATCTTTAAATAATTCAAGAAATTTTTGAAAGGAGTAGAATACATTCAGAAAATGCTCAGACTTATCACTCAACTTCTGATGCTACAAACTACAGAGGTTGAATCTTTTGTTTCTTATCTTAGTTTGAAAGGAAGAATGTTTTTTCAAAACAAAATTATACAGAAATTCAAAGCCCTAACAAGAACCCAAGAATGCAAACAGAAAGCAAGTTTGCCATTAATAGTCTTCAATATAGTTACCTGCATACTCACTGAAACAGATGCAGCATTCATGAATGTTTTTGAGAAAGCTCTCTGGCATCTCTCATCATTTAAGTCCTAATTGAAGGACATCAACTCCGGTGATACACTCCTTGAAATTGCCCGCCTATCTCCAGCATGCATGACACCATAAGGACCGCATAATCTCATTATCAAACCCAACATATGAAAGAAAGAATTTTGTGCCAATCTGTCCACTGATATATAATTTCTTGTCCAGGTTGATCCCTCCATATTGAGTCCAGCATGGAGCAAAGATTCGAAATCTTAGCAGAGTCCAACCACTGAACTGAAATGGTAAAGCATGGAGGGAGATGGCTTGGGTATGATTTAGGTATAAACAAGTTAAACATGGGAGGAAGATACTGGACTTTAAAAGAGTAGGAAAAGTCATCTACACTTTCAGTTTTCGCGTGAAGATGACTAGATGAATTTAGCTTTGCAGTTACAGTTAGTTCACCAAGGGCTTCAATACTTATATCAATCTACAAAAGGAAAACATGTAAGACAATTTACTTCCTTATAAGATGCAAAAATTTTAGTGTTATTGGATAACAGAACTACCTGAAAAGATCGTAGGCCTCTTTTTCTATCAGGATGAAGACATTTTCTCCATAATAGACTCCATCGCAAGCAACTGAAACAAGTTAAGGATGAGAAGAAGACAGAAATTAAGAGTAGCATACTTTCCTGCCTTAGATAAAAAGCTACACCATCGGAACAAGAGTAAAAAAAGTGGTAGAGGACTTTATTTCGAAATCCAATGATAATTGTATAATCATTCCTCCAGAATGAATTGTCTCAGATGAAGAATTATTGAAAAGTTTTTGTTTGGTCATTAAATCACAGAATTCATTTTCGATTAGTTAGTGTTTGCATAGTGATTAATAGAGAGTCCAATGTAATCTTCTTTTTGTCCCTTGTGGATGATCATTTTAAGATGTTTCTTTTCTGCTACTGGAGAGTCAATCTTGGCTTTTCCTGAATAAGGAGTTCATAATATATACATATAGTTGAATTAGTTGGCTCCAGATGGGGAATAAAAGAGAAAACGTGTAACAACAAGAGTACATTCAAATAAAATGAAATTTGCATAATGATAATATACTTATGATTCAATTTATTCCCAAAAAAAAATAAAAATAATAAAAAATGTAAAGAATGGAATTATAACATTTCAGACAATTCTGTTTTAAGTTTTGTCAAATTCCTGTTTTCAAAATGTTTTAGATACTTAACACTAAATATATTGTCAAATATTCATGTTCAGATGTATCCAGTTTGAAAACAAACAAACTAAACACCTATTTTTCAACATCAGAAAATAAATAACTATCAGACTGCACATTTACATCAATTCAATTTTCAATCCAATTCAATCCATTCACCTTTTCGACAAAACAACAAGCAAGCTTCCTAAAACCATAGGATACATCTCTTTACTTCCCATCACTTCTCTCACTACTTCCTTTTCAATTTATTCTCTTATAACATTAACCACTAAACTAAGCTACAATTTCATATAAGCTTAACAATTTACCTTCTAAACCACTTTCATATTCTTAAAATCATTTAAAAGTTTACAACAGCTACATGCATCATCAAAAGACAATTAACTACAAGTTTTAACAATAAACACAATCCAATTCAATATCCTTATAATTACCTTCGTCCTCCTGCAGTTGATCGTGATCCTCAGCTGCTCATCATCCAATTCTGGCTCTTCCCAACTTAAACTCAGCTCATTCAATATACTTTCCCACGTCAACAGCTTCATTCTTCGACATCCTATCGCCTTCGTACTTTCTTCTTTTCTTCTCTATCTGTTTTAACTTCCTCGCCAATATTCAAAGCATCCACTTCGTTTACCAACGAATTCTCTTCATTACTCACGAACCCAGTTCACTTTTCGAGTTTCGAGCTCGGATTTCTTAACAAATCGGCGTTTGACCACGTGGGCACGCCGGTTGCGCGATACCCATTTGGGATTCCCGGTTTTTCGGGGTTTGTGCAGTTTGTCTGAAGTTTGGTCCTCATAGGTTAATGGGAGACTCGAGATCGCGTTCTTCTTGTAGGGGAGTGGTGGATCGTTGAGGGTTTGAGAGTCCAGTGTCGTCGTTTTGGAGAGAATTTTTGTGTCTTCTTCCTCTTCTGGTTC